TTGTCAGGCATCTTCAAGTGATCTTGATAGAGCAGGCTATCAATTTTCAACTGTACTTCCCCGATAATGTCAACTCCCTTCACCAGTTTGCACTCGTCATTAACAATGCTCTTCAGTTCCGGCAGGACATGTTTAAGTTCATTTACGATGTCTTGTTTCATCCAGAACAGCTTCAGGCCTGAAGGAGAGATACAAGATGGTTTCAGCTGAGGTGCAACTGCAGGGGATTGTAACAGATCATAGTTAGCATCTTTCACAATGCAAGTACGTAGCTCATGGTCAATAACAATCCAATTATGTGCAAGGAACGGTCCTCCAAGTAACAATGGTGTACAAAGGTTTGGTGCAATGATTGCATGTACAGTCCGAGACGTATATGCTTGATCAAGAGAAGTACAGGAAAGCTTGACATAGTGCGAGAGAAGAAGACATTCTTTGTTTTGTTAGACAGTGAGAGAAATAGGAAGCGGTTTTGAGAGTTGACAACAGCGTAGTCCAAGTTGGGTGACAAGATCTTCACCAATCAGAACTAGAGAAGAACCATGGTCAATAAGTGCATTTACGGTAATAGGAGATGAAACTGTGGGTTCGTCAACAAGACAGCGCCAGAGAAGATGGGATGTTTGTAGCGGGGCCACGCACTCTTTGCCAGAGTCAGTACCCTCTCCCAATACTGCTGATGGCATGACAACAGCAATAGTGTTACTTGTTTCTTCAACATCAACCAATGCAACCATACTTCTGTCCTTCTTCGACATAATGGCTGTAATCACAGCCGCTGTGAGCATCTTGTAAATTTCACCATCAGGGAAGCCCTTTGGGCAGTTGCTAGATGTGTGCCCAGCAAATGGCTCACAACATTTGAAGTATCCATTGTTGTCACGCAGGAGTTGTTTTTCAGTGTCTGAGAGCCACAGGAGGCAAGTGAATGTTTTGTCAGAGAAGGAGGTACTGTTGGATTGACCATTAGGTGCCTTCATGCTTGAGGGTGCATTCCTGGCAGGTTTCTTTTCTGTTCCGGAATGTGCATGTTCTGCTTGCAAGACTGCATCAACAGCATATTTCTGTCAGGCAAGGTAGTGCATCCTTTTCTTGTCAAGTAGGCACACCTTCTCAATCCATTTACACAGCACCTTTTCTTTGATGTCCTCGGCGTAGTAGTCTGCAGCAAGATTGGAATTCATGTGGGATTCAAGGTGGTACAGTAGATTGACATTGACAAGGTGAGAGGTCATTCCACACAGTAGTGTATTCTGACTCTGGACTTCAATAGCCCATTCATTGAACAGACATTGGCCTTGAGCCAACATGAGCATCTTTCATCAAACCATGTTAGACCAGTCTGTTGGAAGGAAACAGCTGCGGATTTCAGCAAGGTACTCCTTGAATGTGAGTTTATCCATGTGTTCCTGGTCATTGAGGTACCAGTCCTGTATGATAGGGTCCTGCATACCCCAAGCAACCTTCTTCACCCTTTCATCGTCCTTGACCTCCTTGTGCAAGAAGAATTGCATACAGCCCATTTCCCAAGTGCATAACACTTCTGGCGTGATCTGTCCCAGCATGAGGAAAGGTGGCTTGCTTGCTGATGCTTGATCAACATGTGCGAGTTTCGTAGTTGTCGCCATTGTGGTGGTGACAATGTCTGACTGTGAGGATTCTGAGCATGAGGATATATGTGTGTGTTTGTTGGCGACAGCGGGGATAAGGAGTGTAAGGAAGTTATTTTTGATGAGAATGCAGACAGATCTGTGTTCATCACTGCCATTGTAGTGTTGGCGGTTGTCACAATAATTCTACTATGGCTGTGGGTAGTGACAGTTGTGGGAGGAACAACACAAGGTCAGTGGAGAGGCAGTTTGATATTGGTGCGGTGGTGGGTTGACTTGAGTCAAACCCAACAGCTGATGTGACAGAGCAGTAAGATATGAGAACAGCAACAGAAGGATGTAACAGTAATGGATCTGCATTCTTTTCAACATTAAAAAAAAGTGAAAGGCCATCACATCAATGGCAACACTAACAGACAGGCAATAACATGGAAGAACATATGATTGACAAGATGGTAAGAAGATAAGATGTAGATAGGATAATGGCACTGTATATATGGGGATGAGCATCAAGCAGCCAAATACTAGACAATAAAGTGCGGTGTCCAATCAGCAGTGAGTGACGCGTCTGTCATGTGGTAAGCCCAGGCTTACATGCAGCTTCAAGTTTTGCTGTCAAGGCTTTCTTGCGAATCAACGAATTAATATTCTACTATTGTGATAACTCGTTATCATGCATACAATTTACTAATCAAAGTCGTTACAGTTCTACAGTTCTACTGAACTTACTGTACTTCGGCATAGGCTCCGGCATGGCTTATGGATGCAGTGTCACACCATGTCACATTCACGTGATGTTGGTCGAATCCGCAAGTTCTCTACCTTAAGCGGCTCTCAATATCTGGCTTTGTCTGAACTATGATGACGACGTTAACCTTGCTTCACGTCGTCACTAGCGTTCCTAAGGATTGCTAGACATAGCCGGGTTGTCGCTGACACTGTTGACACGCGTGATGGCCTAGCCATTGGCAGATATAACCATGTCTGAGTTGAGCAATTCTGGTGATGAAGGTGGCGGGATCTTCAAGTCAAGTTCAACGTAAGTCCGAATCATTCTCATTATTACTTAGATGTGAATTTCTGCAGTTTCTGGTCCCAGCTCTGATTCTGACGATGACGGTCTCGACACGCTACCAGCTAGTTTGAAGGGGTTGTCCATCTCACCCCGGACTCAGACGCGCTCCACGCCAGGGTTTCATGATGCCCTCGATAAGAACAAGAAATCTTCGTAAACCTTCAGAATCCTTCGTCCGCCACGCACATACCACTCGACCACTCTTCCGGCCTCTTGTTTCAGTTGAACTTATGATATGTTGCGGGGTCACCCGGATGTTAATGATTCATTATCGCCTCCATTCCACGACTCTTGAACTACTGACTACTTCATTGGTTCTAACATTTCGCTGTCATAATCACATCGCAGCTACGACGCTATGCCTTACTATGCCCTACATTTCCTTGGTACCTCTAGTTGAAGTTCATGATTTAACTTCTCGAGTCATCCGTCGAATCCTCCTTCCTTAGCTCTAACTTCTTGCTTTAATTCTCCTTATTTCGTTGAATCCTCCTTTTAAGCTTTTGTTCAATCGAAAATCAGCTTTGATATTGTCTTATTGAGTTTTTACTAAGACCTAGTCAGTGGGTATACGAAGGGTGACTGTGTGTCGTTTCTCAGTGTGTGTATGTCAGTCGGTGTGTGGTGCGTGCTTTATGTGTGTGCGGGTGTGTTGAATAGTTTGACAGATCCAGCGCCATAATGGACAACCTAAAGTCTTTCCCCTACATTCATTCCGACGCATGGCCTCGGGGCCATGACTGGCATGCTTCTGGCCACCACATTCCATCCAAGTAAGCCCTCGGGGCTTTCTTTTATCACAGGATGGCGGAAAAGAGCACGGTCCGGAATATCGCCCAGAGAATTGGAGCTCTTGGAATGCGCAGGCGTCAACTTATCATCCGCATCGCCAACGATCGTCTAGGGATATGATATCACCTCCATGTGGATATACGAGGCCTTCCCGAATTCGACTCGAGAACAATGCTCCTGCCTAGGGACATGCCTGAGACCCGTGCGACCTACTCAGGCGGGAATATGAAGGAGCGACTATCTTCCTTCGATTGGTCTGGCTAGGGGAGACTATCAGGCGGATATGTTCTTCCTACATCACCATGAAGGATAATATTCAGTACATAAAAGCAAGGCGTCTTCCTACTGTCCCCTTCAGATTCATTTGACTCCATATCACATCGTCACAAACAATGCGTCTCTACTTTGTCTTCGCCATTATCGCTGCTTTGACAGCATCGATATCTGCCAGTGACGAGCCCACTGGGAACTGCCCCATCAATTGCAAGAAACAGAGCGACTGCGCAGGCTGCCCGCGCGTTTTACAAAATTGCGTAAGTATGAGTAGTTTGTGTCCTGGATTTTACATGACTCACTGGCGTGGTAGGTCAAACATATCTGTTCTGGGTGAATGGCATGTCGCGACAGTGAACTACAGTGAGTCGCGTTTTTGTTTTCGCATCGGTGCAGTATGGTTGATGGCATGACGCGTAAGTTACTAGTAGTTTGTTGCTGAGTTGTTTAATGTGTCTGCTTCTGAACGAACTATACTGCCGCTCGAGCAGCGGAACATTGGAGATATTGGAATAGAGGAAAATGAATACATAAATTACCGTAATATGTCATGATCATGGCGCAAATTTCCTTACTTAGCTTTATTCTGTCACTCAGAATGCACAGTACAGTTGAAATGCTCATAATGCATACTGTCGGGACCGTCAAAAGTCTATGCATTATGAGAAATATGCAACGCCAAGAATTTCACACGTTTGTGACATGTGTGACCTCCGCCAAAAGTGTGACAGCAAATTATCCATAGTTCTACACAACTACATGTATTATAAGAATTGTTCTAAAGATGTTTGTCTAGCATTAAGTAGCTCTTCTCGTCATAGGTTAGCACGAAATATATGAAGTTGTGATGATAAGTTAAGTGAAAACTGAGGATCACTAGCACAAATCAAGGAGATCTGGATATGAGATTGATGCACCCGCTTCGTCGTCAGAATCAACATGTGTGTGGTAGTAGTACCGTCGTAATCACTCCTTCTATACATATTTGAAAGGAACAATGCCGCCAAAGCAGAACAATAGATTTATGGAGTACCACTACCTCATGCACATGTCCCATTCTATCAATTCGGTACCCCATAATGCATATTGGTCATGCAAAAGTTATGCATTATGCGTCTAATTGCATGGGAACAACGATGGGATCCTCAAAAGTCCATGCATTATGAACATTTCAACTGTACTAGTGATCGAGGAAACCAGGGACCTGGTAAACCGAGCGCTGTGGTACATGTCAGATCCTATTAGAAGAGTCGAGTAGACTCGGAGTGATTTGGCAGGTGAAGCGCCCGTTCACAATATAAATGTACAGCTGCTCTTTATGAACTTCTGTCGCGCATTGCACAGCTCATTGAGGGTGCTGAGGTTGGGGTGTTGCAGCATGATTCTACACCCTTCTTCCTTTCCCTTTCCCCACTGCACCCATTCTTCCGCACAACACAAACTCACCCCCCAACAGACCGTACACGCTACCAAACACACCTGGTACGGCCGTATCCGAGTCGTCCCTTCAGATCACGACGCCGAAAAACCATCACAAAAAACCAACTACCCGTCCTGTCATGCTCTACTCTCCAATTTATAATGGTCTCTCTGCCGCATTTACTTTTAGTCAGTCTTCCCTCTTCTCATTCTGTTCTAGTTTCCATCGTTACGAGTTCTGCGAGGCTCTCTGCAAGAACTCGAAGCTTGGTATTCATGAAGATGCTCAGAACCGCGGCAAACTCACTGGGTTCCTCCGCTTCTTCTCAACTAGGGTCTATCCTCGGCCTGGGAGTCAAATGATGACATGCTCAATGCTGCTCTCAATGAGTAGTAAGTTACGGCCGGTCTTGGTGCCCTCGGCAAATTGAAGCGGAATTGCAAAGCTACTTTCCATCACCTCACCACTGGTTAAATGCTTGCCGTCGCACCACGCCTGCGGGAACTTCCTAGCCAGACCTTTGTAGACGAAGGAAGATAGTCGTTAATACTAAAGGCGCTTCCTGGAGCTTGCAGCTTTCCTGGTCCCAGCTTTTACTACAACACCAAGTTGAGTCTGGTACTATTCATAGTACATACAAACATATTTTGATCTAATGCAATGAAGATAGCCGGTTTTCATGTGACAGTTTTCAACTTTTTCGTCCCGTGGGGAATCAGGACGAACAACGGTTGCAATGTGATGTGTCAGATCATTTACTAGGATCTTGCCATCCCGATTTGCACCGGTGCCACGGTGCCGTGGCGGCAGAGCGCCGAAGTGAGCACTAAGTGTCAAGTTCAGCGCCTCATATTTTCTGAGCTTCCGCCATGCGATCCATACTCCCGAAGGGCTTGTTTACATTCAAAAGCTCTGAAGGGTTTTGAGCTCGAAATTCTAGGTTCGTCTTCAATATTGTTCATGATGTAGATTTTCTTATTCTTGAGGAAGATCGCAATAGCTTAGAACGGTAGCCGTCGGTTCTCCCGGGTATAATTTTTGAAACCCTGTATCATTTCTGTTTCACTAACCGACGGGTATCTTATGATCAATCCCAGGCGTCGGCATTCAAACGCTAAGTACTTCTTCGTCGGATGTCTAGTACTAATAAATGCCATGCGAAGATTATTCGAATGATCGACATGGGAATTGTGGATATAGGAGCTGCTAGTCTCCTCTAGTCTCCTGCAGTCAGACCTTGAAAGAAGGAACGACTGTCTTGTGATAACAGGTAGACTTTCATGCAGAACGTACTGCACAGTTCGGTCGGTCATGGCTACCTAGGCCATATATGACGAATCACGACTGGACTAGCTTGGAACGTAGTTGTCGGTTCTCCCAGGTATAATCTTTGACATCCTATGGTGCTGTTACTGTTTCCTAGCCGACGGGTATTTTGTGATCGATCCCAGGCGTCGGTATTCAAACGCTAAGTACTTCTTCGTTGGATGTCCAGCTATGACCGGTACTAATAATAAGTGTCCTGTCAAGATTATTCGAATTATCGACATGCGAATTATGGATGTTGGAACTAAGTCTCCCGCAGTTAGACCTTGAAAGAAGAAACGACTGTCTATGACACTTGAGTCTTGCTATTTGTATCATCACGAGCATGACAGGTGAATCCAAAATTCCGAGAGGGCATCGTTTTATGAATGCCGGCTTTGGAATCATGGTACGCTTTCATGCAAACGTACTGTACAGTTCGATCGGTCATGGCCACTTTGGCTAAGTGATAGATGTAGGATGGACACGACAGTAGCGAGTTGGTAGCCTTTCCCTGACCGGTGTATTCGAGAAGGCATCATTTTATCTATGTCATCTTCTGAATCACGGTACACTTTCATGTAGAACATACCGCACAGTCACTTCGACCTAGGCCATACAGGATGAATCACGACAATAGCGAGCTGGTAGCCTTTCCCTGACAGGTGCATTCAAATTTTTGAAAAGACATCATTTTAACAATGCCACCTTCTGAACCATGGTACACTTTCATGCAGAACGTACTGCATAGTTCGGTCGGTCATAACCATTTCGGCCCAGACCGTGTAGAAGGATGAATCACGACAATACATTTAGTAGCTTTCCCTGACAGGCATTTACAAGATCAGAGAACAAACATACTTAGAAATACGAGTCCTGATGTTCTCACTGTCTGTCATTTTAAAGCAAAAAAAGATACTATCAAGTCTGTAAATTTCCTCGTTGGACGTTGCCGAACAGCAATACTGCTTGTGGCTACGGCGAGACCCAGGTCTCAATTCAATATACATAGTTACCCTTTGCGGTGAAATAAATGCAGCGTCAAAGCACAATGTGGTTGGTGTCAACAGTAATGAACGGATACTCCAGAATCGTATGTATTTAGGAGAGCACCGCAAAGTCAGAGGGAAGCGAATAACGATAAGATTCCTGTCAATCACAGGTGAGCCTTTGTGGCGAACATTAATTGCCTCGGAGGCATCCCGATCTGAAGAAGCAGAAGGATTATTAGATACGTCAGACTGCCCACATATGTAAATTAACGGAAGGGAAAAATACTCCGTCGTGTCTTCTTGTCCCTACTGAATTTATCCATACATGCTGCAGCAGTGAACTGGCAGAGCCCGTCTAATCATGCAAAATCATTAGGCGAGGAAGTTGTGTCAACAGTACGGTTCGTTGCAAACATTAGATGTGACGCTCACAAAATTATTATTATTCACACGCGATAGCCATTTCACGGGAAGTGGTGTGGTCATCGAGGCCCATTACTGAAAGTCTGTGCTGATCATTTTCAAGAAACGGTTAGATGGATGAGTAAATCAGGTTAGAGGAGCTTTTGTGCCGTACCGAACGACAGGGGTGACACACTGACACTCTAGGAATCAAAAGAAAACATCGTCGAACAAGGCGCACTTGGTGGGCCTTGCTGATTGTCGACACATTTGATGAGCATCTAACATTGCACCATTCCTCGATTAGAAGTGCACTACCGAGGAGCCGAAAGGATATCGCAAGGGTCACAATTGAGCAGTTGGTTATCAGCAAAGTGTGCTTATCTAGCTCAAGAGGACTCTGATTAGCTCAACAGAGCTGAAATAAACTTCGTGGACATCACCGTTCATAGTGTTACAAGGGATTGCCAAGCGGCTCGCAAGGTTGGCTTCGACACTAAACGGATGAAACTCTCGTTGGGCCCTATCTCAATCGCACCTGGAAATAACCGAAACGCTTACATACTTATTAATGACGATATACGGTGAGACGGTATGGATATGAAAGCCATGAGTTGAGCTCACTTTCAGAACATGTCGAGGCCCTGAAATGTGTGCCGAAATTGTTGACACAGCAAGAGTTATCGAGATATGGAAAAGTAGCCAGTTTCTGAGTCGTACGACCATGGAGTTGACAGAGCAAGCACTAGCAGACATAAGTACATCGACGGCTGTGTTGAACCTGAAAAGCATGTTTTAGAGTTCTGCGAGTGAAAGCTCAATCCGGTATTGAGCTGACACTCTATTTCACGTACATAGGAGCAGGGCCCACCCAAGAGACTATGAACGATTGTGTGAATCAGTGATCCCGGGGCAAATGTTATCCCGATCAAGATCGATAACTTACAATACCGACTCTAAGAGGAAGTACACGGAATAAGCAACACACCTACTAGTCTTAGTAAACCACGTACCTGCACATGCTTGACTTTATGTTACTACTGTTGGACTGGTTAGGAAAGACTAGGCTTGAGAGACTGCACACCACTCAGCAAACAACTGATGAGCCTGTTACATCAACCCGGAGATTTGCGATATTATGCAGTGCACGTGCCGGTAGGCATCCCCGCGGTCCCCGCCTGCGACCGTTAACGTTTTACGCCTACGGTCGATAAAGTTCTAGATGAATCTAATAGTCATTCTAGTACTAGTCTGTCCGCATCAACTCAGGCAGGACTCCGCCAGGACAAACATTTGATTAGACCCGACAGCCCATATTCCGACGGCTGAATCAAGACACAACAAATTGGTTCAACTTGGTTGTACATGCAATGCCTTTCGCGGACATCGTCACATCAGGCGAAACATGCAACGTTCGTGATTTCATTGTAATTTTTTTTCCCATTGAAGACTAAATCATCTTGGTGGGGTGATACTTGTACTTAGATGAAGCCGCTCGTTTTCGACTTCGCGTCAGATGCGTGAAGTTAACGCAGAGCAGTAAACGAAAAGTATCAGGCAAACGAGTTTACCAGGAAGTTTGCGAGATTTCACTTACACCCCCATGTTTGTCATTAGGACTTCGTGACGGTCTCAGTTCGCCACCATGTCGGTGCTTGAATGCGACGTGCGCACAAACCTTGTATGTACCGGAGGGAACCTAGTCTCCCAGCTAGGCAGACCAACCGAAGAAGACTATTGTTCCTTCTTTATTACCTGTCCACGGTATCTGCTGATCCTCGGCGTGGTTCCACTCAGCCTATTGAACTCCCTTGCTTAACAAAATAGCATGGTCAACACCAGATGAGAAGGTTCAAGATGGTTCACGTTTACTAGTCTCGGATTATCTGATTCAGCCCGAGTGGGAGCCTCGTATGATGACTTAGCGGGAGACCGCCCAGTTTACGGCAAGGTCGGCGTTGGCTTAGATGCGCTCCTTCTCTACGTGAGATGCAGGACGCTATTCGGACTGCCTCTTCCAATGGAGACCGACTCCGAGGAAAGTGTAATGGACCCGTCAGAATGGCGGCTGTCGCAACGTCGGAACCCTCAGTCGTATATCTGAGGGTTCTTAGTTCTCCGCGAGGCACTGTTTGGCGATCTGAGTTCTGAGGCCCAGTCTGCAATCAGGACCATCAGTGCCAACTCTGTCTTGAATTGGAGCGAATTTCAGCAATGGGCTTGCTTTTCGTGTACCAGAAGCCACAGAAAGGGATTTCCTGCGAGGACGGCGCCAATTTGGTGTCCTCAGACTGGCGAAGTTGAAACAAGGCAAGCTGATATCGGTGCCTCAGCTAACTTTTCTACGTGGGCGTCGTGATTAGTACTGTAATTCACTCAAGTGGTCTCGTGTACGAAGTACATAAGTACTAAGAGGGAGCTCTAGTAGGCTTGTGCCTCCGCTAAACATTAGATGCTGATTTGAAGTTCGTGATTACTTACATAGTACTTATTACGCTTCAAGCAGTCCCGCGAATATCGCATGAGCATTCAAGTACTACAAAGTGCTAATAAGCGAGAGCTCTAGCGTGGTCCAGACCCTGTTAATTCCAGGGTAAACGGCTTACACAAATGCATCTACCCGAACATAAGGCCCGCGGTATGTTCAACGGTATCGGGTGTATTTCGTCAAGACCGCAATAAATCCCGTGCGGGGGCGACGTCACCCCGAGATCGAAAAAAAGTATTGCTACTGAGTTGAGCATAGCTCTGCATAGCCCAATCAAGACATCTAAGTAGCAGGGTATCAACAACATCACGCGATTTCTTGCTAACGCGTCTAGCGTGTGAGCTCATGACTATGTATGTGGTGGAAGGACTGAATTGCAATCTCACAGTGCAATCTCAGGCAATCCGTCCTACCGAACATATGGATGGCTGATAGAGCAGAACTGCATTTCGGAATGTTAATAATCCCCAACCAAGCTTGAACATTTTCATTCCAAGAGTCCGAAATGGGTGTTATGGTAACGTCGAGCACCCTGCCGCAGTTATACCCAATTCTGTCTCAACCAGGGACCAGTGAATGATTAACGCTTCAGTAAAGTTCAGCTCAAAAGACTACGATAAAGGGCTGCCCTGATATCTGCCAGCCTTACCAGCTGTCCAAGTGTCCAAGCTATGATAACACTGGATGTGCCATAAGATTCGCCTCCCTGCCGAGTTTCGGAGCCTGCTTGATCGCCAGAGCTCAGAGCTGTGCTCTCCACAATGTTACTTCATGTCCTGGCAAATTGTTGTAAAAGCACCGTAGAGCACCACATGGTTCCTACCAATGAAAACCTTGTCAGGGTAGATGATGATTGCGTTGTAGACATGCTTACTTTGACCGCCATGGCAGACGGGAATGAAAGATGGCGACCTGATCAACGATAAGAAACTTATCATAAGTTACGCTCGAGAGCAGTGCTGAGTGACTATTTCATGGCAATGATGGCACACTTCACAGTCTGAAGTATTTGTCAAAGTGGACGTTTTGCGAGTTCCAGCCGACCTTATGAAAATGTCAATTTGGGGTCTGTGATGGGCGCTTACGCCTACGGCAGCAATCTTATTCTGCTACTCCAGTAAAGCCTTCTGCATTCCACAACAGACTCTTGTTCATTATATTGCCTTTGCCAAGGAACGTACGATACTCACCGAGGACTTTTACTGGGACCGAGAGCAGGGGGTCCCCAGGGTTATCAACGAACACGACCACACAGGAGAGGTGAGATGAAGTTTTCACAGAGGACACGGTTTGTGGCGAACGCGTCAATTTAATTCGAAACACGTTCAAGCGCGACACGGCGATCATGAGATGTATTTCGCTGGTAGCACTTGTGGTGGCACCGCGGGGACTAGGGAGATAATCAATTAATGTTATAACGTATTTATTTATGTTTTCCGCTAGCACACATTCGCGGACCCGGCCGGGCATTAGACTAAGAGTCTAACAGCACTTAGAAGGCTGCTGCTGGCTTTACGCTCCTTACGTAGCTTTACACCTGAGGCCTGAGCTTTCCCTAGCTGTCATTGATGGAGAGGTACTTAATGTTTCAAGGAACAGCCAAGTCTGTGTATTGGACCCCCGCAATTGCTTGTGGGGACTGCAATTTGGGGCTCGAGCTTAAAAACTTTCGAGGTGCAAATAAGTATATCATGATGGAGACACGGTGACATGGAAGTCACCGCTGTTTGTGAGGCCGAAACCATAGCTAGTCAGGGCAGGTCAGGATAGGTCAGGGCGGTATTGATTTGCCCACTGCAGCTCGAACCAATGTGACCGCGTGTCTGATAGAAGTCAAAGAAGGTACGAAGACTTGAAGAAAGAGACTTGAGAAAGGCACAAGACCTGAATGCTGATTAGCAGGAGTGATTGTGCGCAGTTGATATCACTGATGGACTCAGTCTGATCACTCTGATGATATTGCAGTGAAACTCCGAGTGCACGCAGCAAAATAATTTCTACCGTGTAAATTGTGGTGTACACTGTTGCCACTTGACGTTGTCTACATCAATTAAATTTGTTGCTTATCGCACCCGACAGCCATACAAGCGCTTGTCGCAAGCGTGACGTTGAGATTGAATCTGGCATGTCCTCGGCAAATGAGATTCTGTCTTAGTTTGTTTTTCATGGCAGGTTCTGTCGACGGTGACATGCCCTCGACGAGGAAAGAAGTTGGATGGTCAGAGGAATGCGACACGTTGCCAATGCGTCGTGTGGGTTCCAAGTTCCTTCTAGGGCTGGTGCAGGGGCGCCTGTGGATGATCCCATGTCGCCAGACAATTGACCGGAGACAGAAATTGAATATAAATTTGGGGGGTATGCTTATGTGAGCTCCGGAACCCACGAACGGTAACGAAGACCAGTCGGAAGCTGGGATCCAGAAATGGAAGGTATAGAAAGAGACAGCAGCCGTGAAAGAATCGAAGGCCGATCTTAGCTAACTCACGTTTTTTTGGAACGAAACTTTATGTGATTTTCTTAACGAAAAGTTTGCCCTGCAATTAGCCGCACCTGGAATAAAATGGCCCGACCCGTCGTTGACTTTTTCATTTTCGTCCCCAGTCATGGCTGTCAGCATGTCTGAAGACGACGTTGCTTACACTGCCCTCCTCCGACAACTCTTGTCAGATACCTCTAGCACACGCAATGCTCGTGTGCACTCTTGGATAGAGCACCAGTATGATTTTGCTCTCTCAGAGGCAGACACCACCGTCAACAAAGATCGTGACGATGTCTCTCTCGGCTGCTCCAGGGCTCCTTCGCCTTCACCGTCTTCCTCGTTGGGAGCTCACCGTACGTTTTATTCTGACAGACCCGACTCACCCCTCCTACCGCGGTCATCGGCCGAATGTTCCTCACAAGGACCAGAGTCTTGTCCATCTTACGATGCGCTATTTTTCCCAGTTTCATCTTCTCCTCAGACTCATGCTGAGGATGAGGTGAGGGATGAGCGCGAACGTGAGCGCGCACTTCGTTTCCTCGTGCAGGAAATGTCCCACTGGAAAATGCAGTCCAGTCCTACCACTCCCCGCAAGAACGTGGATAAGGTATTGCCTTTTATGAACCGCTATTCATCGAGCTAAAATTCGATCACTTAGCCTTTACCGTGTCCTCCGCCACCTTCTCCGGCGACATCTACCACACAGTCCACTTCCTCACGTGTCATGCGTTCACGTTCATCATCGACGCGCATTTCACGGCTGCCTTCGTTCACAAGTACGTTGGAATCTGATCAGAGCCAACCACAAGATATATTCACACCGCCATTGCCCGTCTCTGTCATTGTCCACGGAGAAGCTCAACACGAACTTATTCCTGACCTAAGGTCTTCCGATTCATTCTTCCTCCGACGCATGGATTCTTTCAAGATGAACGAGCAGGATGAACAAGAGCTTTCTCTCCTTTCGCCAATCCATGATGATCGCGACTCAGGATACCCGTCACCTACGCTCTCCAACTTCTCGTACGCACCGTCTCGCGAAACTGCGCTTACCAGCCCCTACGCCAGTTTGCCTACATCACCCGCAAGCGCGACCTTTGCTCCTTGTCTACCGGAAAATATCGCACTGCCAGCATCCCCTGATGCTAATGCTGAGCGCTTCCCGGAGGAGTCTCTTTCCTCCGAGGATCGCGGTGGGGATTCATCTCCGAAATCTCCATCCGACACGGCATTTCCCGTATCGGCATCGACAACTGTCTTTCCATTGTCTTCTTCATCTACCGTATTCCCCGTATCGCCGAGTACCACTATATTTCCCGCTTCTGCGCCTGACTTTACATTATCTACGTCACCTTCTCTCACCGTTGATCCCGCCACCCCTTCATCGTCGCACTTCCCTCTTGAGTCCAAGGATTGTGTAAATGATTTTACCGCACAATCTCAGCGGTTACGTGCTTCCACTAACAGCTCGGGGGACCTCCAAAGTCGATGGTCAGTTGCAACCACAGCATCACTAACTCCGTCTCCTTCCGATCCAGCGCCATCGGGGACATTCTTGAGATCCAGGACTCCTTCGCGGGGGAAAAAGGACAAGGAGGTGTCAAAGGAGGTGAAAACTCCGAGAAAGCGTACCCGCCTCATCAGCTTCATCTCGAAGCTTTCCCCGGGTCGTTCAGAAAGTAATGCTACTTCTACCACTGGGTCGCCCTCGGCCGATTATGACTTTGCCAATGAGTCGGATACGGATGAGAGAGTCTACAAACCTTCAAAGACGCTTGGCAAGAAGTCCTCCCTAGCTAGTTTGCGAGCATCATTCTCTTTGTCTCGTGCCTCTTTCGCATCTCAGCGTCCACCAGTGTCGTCCGTGGCGGAGATACCTCCGTTGCCAATGTCACCTACGCGTACGTCATTCGGCGCGTCACGCATGTCGTTCGCAACCGATGGTGTGATGGGTAGCGGGGAGCCAGTGCCACCGGTACCGACCATCTCCTTATCGAGGATTCCTTCCCGCGCCACCCTGCTCGACGATACCTTGCCGCCCATTCCCCAGTCTGCTTCAACTGTTACATCCTTCCGAAGTGTGTCTCAGGCTTCTCTGCAAACTCATACCCCTCCTTCGGCTTCAGCATCACAGCTCTCGTTGCTTCCGTCGCCGAGTGCAAGTCACAGCGCATCAAGGTTGTCTCTTCTGTTGGCGTCCAGTTCTTCCAGGAACTCGCTGGTGTCGTCTGCCGCATTGGAACCACCCATCTCTATCCATCCCATGCCGAGTTCAACACCAAGTAGGGCCAAGTCGATCTTCAAACTGTCTTCACGACCGAAAACACCCAAGGTTCGAGCCGTTGCAACTCCTTCAAAACTTCCTCTTCCCCGGATGGGAGCTGTCTCATCTTCCAGTATCCCTAATGGGGCAAGTCTAACTGCGTCGAAGATTCCACCACCACCAACAAAGTTCACGCCCCCTTCAAAATTAGCATCAATGCTTGCTTCGCAGGCTTCATCGCGGCTTCCTCATCCGATATCTCCTAACTCACCACCAACATCCAAACTTCCACCCCCGCCATCGAAGATGATCACTCCACCCCCAAAAATCATCGTGCCGACTCGGATGCAAATTCTCCCACAAGCGAGCCCTTCGGTTATAGAACCGAAGTCGCCTATGTCAATCGACGAACCGATTGCACTGGTTTCGAAACTTCCATTGCCTTCGATCTCGTCGAAGGCGTCCCGCACTAGTACCGTGAGGGGCTTTTGGCGTAGGGCGCAATAGGCTCTCGAAACTGCCATTGAGGTATGCGAATGTAGCTCAATCATCATCTTCGATCCTAACATAGTTTCCACAGTTGGACATAGGGAACCATAGACATAGGGACTCGGAATGGATCACTTCTTTCTGCTGAATGCGCTGGCGCGCGTCTTCGCCAATCTCATACTATTATCTATTGATTATTCTGAATCTACCACACTCGTTATTGAACTGTACACTTCTCGTCATTACTCAACCGTCACGCTCGCTCACTGCTTTCCTTGCTTTTACATCGCCGATTCTCGTATGGTTCCTCTGGAATTTCGCTCGTTCGCTGGTGGATCTCATCAGTCTACGTCATCCATCTGCATTATCTGTTGTGGGATTATACATGTACACACACTCCTTACCTTTCCTGTCGCATTCAACCCGCCCTCGTGCCACTGGTCTCGCCAGTTCTCTCTCGTACGCCACCGCCCTAATACCCTCGTGCTGCATCTTGTTTATACGTCATTATTCTCGTGATTTCTTATTCTTGTTCATGCTTCAATTCCGCTCAACCCCAACATCCCAAACTTTTTTCTCGCATAAATATCAATTGTACTCAGGGCACACCGCATCTTCATAAACGTACATTTACATTTACTTGCATATTGCTTACTCAACGCTGCATTTGTAGACCGGGGACGGAAGGAAGAAGATGAAATATAACCAAATTTCTAGTTCATTTGAGTTCGAGGGATACGTGAATTGGATACTAAGTCGGGAGAGTCACGGCTTGGCAGTGTGGTCCATATGCGGGGGGAATGCTTGGGGTACTCTTGCGGCCTTCCTCCAGGGGGAAGACCGCTACAACTCCGGACAATAAGGTATGTATTTCAACATGGCTCAAATTTGAAGTTGCGTGACTGATCTCATCAACCATGAACCATAAGTAAGTTTTAATTTTCATGGCTTACCGTCCGGGCCACTAGTGGTCACTAGTATATTATCGACCAGTGACTAACAAGATGTGATGCATGCATCAACGCCAGGACTAGTCTGTCCATGATTCAAGACGCGATCGTGATTGGTCTACCGTAACTATGTATCAGGTACGAAGAATATGTTCCAGTCTGGCTTTGTGAAAGGCACGAAATTTCAATTAGCAGATTCATTTCACAACAACTCGGAACTTGGTGATATGCGGCTTATTGTCACATGATTTTTTTTCGGAGCCTAACGACTACACCTCTCGACATAGCCTGGCAAGAATGGTGAGCAACCCCTACCATCTATGACCCAAGCCTACATCCAGTTGTAGATGTGCGACGGGGACAAGCGGCGTCTGTACATGCCGGGTTCATGACGAGAGATTCTTGCTATCTTATGAATTTCCTTCCACGACCGATTCCATATCACTACTGATCAACGTCGGATCAGACTACTGGCACTTTTTTTCTATGGAGCCAGAGTAGGACAGAGAAGGACCTGATAGGATCCTCTTCGGAACAGGTATTTCATTTCTCAACCACCTCGATGGCGTCCTCCAGACTTCGCGGGTAGGCGCTTAGAGGTGCTTGATCCCTTGATAGTAAGGTGGTTTGGTTCTGGAGCTTGTAATGACCGCGGACTGCAGCATTCGAGTTGTTATCATGATCCTTGTGACCATTTTTGCGGACTCACGAGAATACCAGAACCACTTCTGATGCTCCTGCCCAAGACTTTCTTCTCCAATCACACCAAAGTTTGGGAGCCGTCTCCTTATCGCCCTCAATCCCTGCTTCAATATTTTACCTACACGCGACTAATTCCCGCCTTCGGTTTCTCGTGCCGATGCTTGCACACATACCACTGCCAATCTGGGCCAATCTGGGCTGCTCTTTTGAACCAATGAAGGAAGTGTTATACTCGATAGCCTAGGTTATCGATTATTGATGCCACTGGTGTTCAGCTACCTCGATCATGCGGGCTCGCGAACAATAGGTCATTCTTCTTATCGGTTGCCCGAGGACCGACCTCGCTGTACAACTTCAAATTCATAGGTGAATTCTACTTGCAGAATTTATTTCCGCTAGCATGATCAAGTCCTCACCCGGCTTGAGAACCTTATATTGTTGGGATCTTACAGCACCTTGCTCTGTTCTGACAAAATGGCTTTGCCAATATCCGGCATGACGTCGGTACCTCTCTTGGCTTACGGCTTGAACCACTCCAAACGGCAACGTCTCCCTCAGAAATTGCTTTCAGACGCTTTAGTTGCACGCTAGGATAACCCGAATACCATCTTTCGTCGTGATACATTCCGCAATGACGTCTGTCATCTTCTTTACACCGACGGAAGTGCGTGGGATGAGACAGCTATGCCATGTTCATCCCACTTTTATCATCGTATCGTGCCTACCTTCCCTCATTTCCGCTCAGGCTGTGAATGAAGGAGCTCACTTCCCTATCGAACCTTCTGGTCGAACTCCCGGCTTTAGAATCGAACACAGGATAAGTAGCTTCGGTCAGAAAGGTTAAGACAAAGTAACAATAACTGCGGATTGAGTTTGGCAGCGGAGTTATCAAGTTGCTCAGCTTTGAATTGGCACTCGCATCACGATGGTCCAGGGTGTGATGGATATATGTCGACCCTTTCTTCTTTGTTCTTCTGCCGGGTTGATCTGCCATCCAGGAGCTGCCGATGTATTGATCGACCTCTTGATCTCCGCAAGCCGCACTAACTACTGAGAACAAGTCCTGCCTCTTCGATGCCATCGAGTGTTTTCTTTCACAGGTTGAAAAATCTGCTCCCCATGTGTCATGCGTCTGTCTATACGCGGATTAACATGAACTTATAGCTGAAAATATCATCTGCCATACCAAATGAACACTGACACTCGTCCTTTCTCCAACGGGACTGAGGGGTTAGGCCTGATCAAGTTCTTCATTTATGAAGGACTAAATTGCTCTTCATCGTAAGTCTTGCAATGTACTCATATTTCAGTCATATTTCAGTGTCTTATCAAGCTTAGATCTAGCGGATATTACAACGCAGTGTCCATCAATATCCGTCACAGGCTTGTGAGCTAAGGAGGTCGGCATCGATGCCAGCACCGACACGATTGTCTAGCAATTGATGTAGTTAACGTTTTTAAGCTTAAGATAGAGCGACCTGTTTGTTCGATCCAGTTCTTCCATTATGAAGGACTAAATTGCTTTTCATCGCAAGTCTTGCAATCATCAATGTCAGTCATATTTCAGGGTCTTATCAAGCTTAGATCTAGCGGATATTACAACGCCCTGTCTATCAATATCCGTCACAGGCTTGTGAGCTAAGGAGGTCGGCATCGATGCTAGAACTGACACGATCTTCATTTATGAAGGACTAAATTGCTCTTCATTGTAAGTCTTGCAATGTGCTCATATTTCAGTCATATTTCAGCGTCTTATTAAGCTTAGATCTAGCGGATATTACAACACCCTGTTCATCAATATCCGTCACAGGCTTGTGAGCTAAGGAGGTCGGCATCGATGCCAGCACCGACATGATTGTCTAGCAATTGATGTAGTTAACGTTCTTAAGCTTAAGATAGAGCGACCTGTTGGCTCGATCAAGTTCTTCCATTACGAAGGACTAAATTGCTTTTCATCGTAAGTCTTGCAATCATCAATGTCGGTCATATTTCAGTATCTTATCAAGCTTAGATCTAGCGGATATTACAACACCCTGTCCATCAATATCCGTCACAGGCTTGTGAGCTAGGAGGTCGGCATCGATGCCAGCACCGACATGATTGTCTAGCAATTGATGTAGTCAACGTTCTTAAGCTTAAGATAGAGCGACCTGTTGGTTCGGGCATAGTTCTGCCAACAATAAATGAACCAAGGTACATCGCTATTTATGGATAGCCTTGTGTGCCAAAAGTCATTGTGTTCTGACTGATTGGTCTCGCTGTCTCGCGAGAGCGCAGACCGTGAGGTTTAGTTAAACCAACAGAAAGATCCTCCAGGCGTGAGTGCTGGAGGATCGGGTGAAATTCAGGGCGAGGTGACAAAAAATACCCGAAACGAGCCGAACGAAAGAGAAACCGAGACCGTATGTATCATGCATTGTACATTATGAGCATTTCTACTATATCTAACCTGTGAACTAAAGAAACAGGATAGAACCGACTCAAGTGTCCAGCAATGCGGTTCTTGGATCAGCTCCGTAAGAAGCACGAAGATTCACGACACCGCCAGCGACCGAACTGTGCGCATGAGCATAGAAGTACGCTGCACGGGCTAGCGTTGCCTGCTCGACCAGACTGAGGACGTCGGTAAGCATGAGAGGCCATCCAAAGTTTCGACGATCGTCTATCGTTAGGAGGTCCGTGATCAAAATGGCACCTTGATCACGCAGGTATGCGAGGTTTGTGGGATCGCGTTCGTCAGTGGCGATGTAGAATCTGAAGGATTATATGAATTCTTATCAAAAAGCAAGCCAGATATCTCACTTGTCATGAACTGCGGGAGGTTCTAGAAGTAGAGGCGAGCGATCAGCTTGACCAAAAGGAACCTTGTAGGCGAGGAGAGGCCCGCGATGCACAGAATGTAGGATATCACGTCCGTCGCGTAGATGGCTCTTGACCCGCGCAAGATGAGCTTCGAAGCTTTGTTCCATGACCCAATTCAACCTTGCAACTAGATTACCTGCTGTGAGCGTCACGATAGTCGAGCAAGGATATGGACTGACAATCCCCCCGTCGCATATGAGCTGCCATCCACATTCGTCCACCGGCCTTCTCGACCATGCGATTAAACAGCTGATCCGCCAGTTCGACCACATTGTCTGTGAGGCGAAAATCATACAGGACTGTCTGGGTGTATCTTTCTCGACTTTCAATAGTGGTGAACCTGAGGGCCCCCTACTCAAATGTTATTAAAGCGTCTATTGTGTAGAGGAAGAGAAAAGAAATTACCGGTTTCCGGAACAAATGAACTTCACCATTTAGGAGAAGTACATCCTGCTCTATGAACCCAAAGTCTTCGTATAATCCACGCAGTAAGCTTCGTGGGACTGCTTGTCGGATTGGAACCGTGACATCTTTCGTTGCGCCTGAGCCACAGCTGGGGAAAGGGGGTTATTCTCGGAGCCAGCCAAACAAAAGAATGGACGTACGCGCCGCCATAAGTATAAAGTACTTCCCAGCCATTTTCTGCCAAAATCCTTGCGATACCGCCACCCGACGACGACTCAACCTCGTTATCATCTCCCACAACTCTGAGGGTGGTTTCCCAATCGAGAACCGATGTTCCGGATGTCATCGCGTCATGCAACGCCAGTGATAGAGGGGTTTCTTCCGTGATAGCCGATCCAACTTGTTCATGAGTGATGTTCCATCCCCCTCTCTCCCGCATACTATGTGGCAGTTGATCAACCCGAACAACATTTCCGGCGTCATACCACTCATTCTTAATGGCGTAAAGGCTGGGTTCCACTGGACTATCGGAGAAGATGTCAACGCCGCGATGATATAAATCGGTGTCCCATTGTCCGTTGGTTGTTTCCACATCAACCGATATGTTGTGCAAGCGGAGATAGTCTGACACTGTGATGACTGCATGTCTCTCACGTAGATGGGTCAAGTTGAACATGAGAGACACAGGTATTCTCCAGGCCATTTGCTGTTCTATGGGGAGTTGACGCCACTCATTTGAGCCGGTTGCGTCACCCCTATTAACCATGGTAGCATACGCAGCGCATACGGAGCTGTGAAAGTGAAAGTCTGAAAAATAATGGGACTGATAGAAGAATAACAACGTACACGTCAAATTCACAGGCACGAGCGTACACGTATGTTGGTATAATTGTAGTACGGTTCAGAATACGTCCATGGAGGACGGCTGCCTCGATAATATATCGCATCTATTAGAAGTAAGCCATGACCCGTATAGTTGGGAAAAAAATCTGGGACGAACATTATTCCAGCCTAACCAGAGGCTATAGTCGCGTGCATAAAATCCTTTTGTTCGAGACACCATGCGGTGGAGAGCGTCGAGCTCGGGATCGACCTGTGGACCCTGTTTCGAGGTGGTATTAACGGGAGACTGCGAGTCGTCTAATGTGGGGTGCGCAAATTGAACCGGATATGAGGTAATCCTCAGCGTCTTCAGTGCCAGGCCTGCCAGGATGCTGAAAACAATTAGTGCGCCTACGAACGCCGGAACGGAAATACATGGACGGCTGCGTCGCATCATTGTACGGTGGGCTGTAGGTTTCGCGTGAATTAAGTTAATGGGAAAATATATTAGGCTGTGATGGATAGGCTGTTTAAACAAGTAAAGTTAGAGAAACAACATGGGGCGCGCCATCAAGGAGATCAAACATAGGGGGGATGTTCAAATTGCGTCACTCGCCTTGAGACGAATTTCCTTTCTAGTCATTGATATTCAGTCACGTCAACGGTACGTAGCCTCATGCTATGGCTCATCTTGAGCTTGAATCCCAAATTTGACATATCGCGTAGCCTGATGTAGCATTGACCCTGTGCATTGAGGTTTACGTCTTGTCCTTCGTTCTCACTAACTCCGTCCTGGGATCCTTTAGCGCGCCTTGTTCAGGTACGAATGTCGCAGCTCTTGATCCACAACAACCAGTGAGTGTTGCAAGTTGCACAGACTGAAGGTGAGCGATGTGTCCACAGGAACAGGAACTATGGGTTTCATGATGAAGTTCCATGGCCACTAGCCACTACTATAGCTAGTACATCCCACTGGCAGATGGCATCGGATGGCAGATTCGTGATCCAGATCCAGTGAAGGCTTTAAACCCCATTGGTGATGATGCATAGTGGTGTCAGTTTGTGCATGGACGTAGTTTGAAGTCAAGTAGAAGTTATTGCTGCCTGCCACTATCTAAAATCCGCCCGAAGCTTAATCATATGTGACAGATTACTATTTATGGCTATCTACGCTCACGTGGTTTTGTTTGGCAAGAGCTTCTGATCCTAACACCTGTAACTGCCAATGGTCCGCCATCCTTCTTGAACACACTCCACAGAAAATGATCGCCAAAGACAGAAAAGCTCTGTTCAAGTCTCCACCAACTGTATTCACAGACAAGCTTATCTCCCAGGAGACGCGTCGATCCAAGGTGAGCAAAGTGCTTGCTCTCTTCTCTGACAATCCTTGACTAAGAACGCATGCTGCAAGGCTTTGGAAGAACAGAAACGCGTGTGTGTGATGGATAGTTGCGCATGTGTTTTTGAAGATTTAACTTCTTCTGACAGAGACGAGCACAAAAGTTCGATTCCTCCAGGCAACTAGATTCTTTCGCCGATCTCAATCTTGGGAACTCTGATGATGATGGTGACCTCGAGCACGAGCCAGAGATAATACGTGAAGGTGTCTCCGGCTTTGTGCAGATGGTGTCACAACCTGTGGAGAACCCGTCCGTGTCCTCCGATGCGCACAATGGTCATGAGACAATACAGTCGGGAAGGCGACAAAGGAAAAACAAGCGTAAACGCGTCAAAGCCAAACCGTCCAAATGGGCTGACAAATGCATGTATGCTGAGCTCCTGGAGATGAATGAAGAGGCTCATTTGTGGGACAACCAATCCGGTGATGTCATCGATGGCCTTCCACGCGATCTAGAGGCAGGTTGGGTAGCAGTGGCACCAGTTCCTGCTGGGAAACGATGCCTGGCTATCACTCATCAGTCGGCCGGAGTAGTTGGAATATGTATGCAGGAGCTTCTTTGACGTGCCTTTCAACTGATTATATTCTGATAGCGCCAAATACGACTCTTAGATCTCGAGTATTGGGCAAGATGCTTCTTCCCCGATTTCCGTCCTCCCTCCCGCCTCTTACAGTGCTCGATTGTATACTCGATGTCAACTGGAGAGACAGCGGCATCATTCATGTCCTGGACGTGCTTAAATGGAAGGGTCAAGATGTCGGCGACTGCGAGACCCCTTTCAGGTGGGTATGCATTACATGCAAACGACCTATTCACCAACATTCTATACGTAGGTTTTGGTGGAGAGATACCCGCTTAGCGGAACTTTCAAAGCCACCGCTACCATCTGGAACTTTTTCATTTACACCACCTTCCGTGACAGCAGACACTTCGTCTCAAAACGCCGGATCATCGAATATGTCCACTTCTGAGCACTATCGTTTTCCATATCCAACGTCTTTTGTACCAATACCATATCACACCGACACGACATTGACTTCCCTGTCTTCGTTTGTCATCCCTATGGCGCGCCTAACGCGAGAAATCAGTGTGGATATCCCTGTGCACGTCTCACCACCAGAATTTACTTCTCATGATATGGCCATCGATGGCACTCAGGATTCTGTCCTTTCACGATCCACCACACCAGTTGTTGTGCGCGTGGACTCTGATGGGTTATTGTTGTATGTGTCTCATGCAAGCTATGAGGAGGGAACCAGTCCCCTGAGCTGTTGGATACCCAACAAGGCGATTACAGAGCGTCCGGAACATCCCAGTGGTTTAAAAGGAGACGACAGCCCCCTGGATCTGTTCCAGCGGTGCGTGATGTGTTCCTCCTTAAGGTTCTTGAATGCTGACCGTATATCAGCCTGGTCCAGCGCCGCACTGTGAGAAATATTCACGCAGGTCTCAGTGTACAAGACTCTATGGACATATAGACACATGTCCCACCACAAACTATCTGATTCACCGTCCCGTCATCCATCCGTCATTCATTACACATTTCCACTCTACTGCGAAGGTCGTCGCTATTTTATCAATTATGTTCATAAATCACACTCTTTCGAAAACGCAAATATTTCTTACTATCCTTACTATCCCTGCTGTGGAGACGCAGGTCATATGATTTTCATGGCAGAGACGGTGACGACAGTAAGTCCGACCAACAACGTCGCATGGATGTTCTGATTTCTTCCTAAACAAGGTTGACCTGCCAACAAGGTCTCATCGCAAGTTCGGCCCAACGTGTCTCTGGGAAGGCAAAATTTGCAGCACTGGATGCGTATGTGTTTGGGATAGTCACAAGGGTATCAAATGTGCAAGCTATCAATGACTATGTGGTATGGAACCCTGTAACTAATATTTGATTGAAGCCGAAGTTCAAACCAGAGAGACAGCTGTCACTACAACTCGCGGAACGATCAGCGGGATAACAGACGAAGGCCAAACAATAGTATTGAATGCATGATGATCGATATTTTGACTTCCCTGCCGAACTTGACAAACGGACGATGACCAGATGCCTAGCTATCGCGCACTTCAGCCTGTCGACAATCAAGAATGGTAGCGCTATGTACCTCTACATACCGTACACTACGTGTGCTACAAAGTGGGGGATGACGACAGAGCTACAGAAGGTATATTTGCTACAGAGTACTATACTCTCATCCGGATTTTCCCTGATGCTTGATAGAATGCAGATTTACTTATTTCTGATTCATTCCCAGCCTGTGACATCCTCGAAAATCAGCTTTTCAGCTGATGTCGTCCAACCTAGCATTGAGGGGAGTATAGTCATGTCGAATGACCTGCTAACGGCGCAACAGATACGCAGGTTTTGTTCCAAACAAACTTTAGCCTTAGTATGTGGACGTGGGGCGCGCCTTGAAGACGAGGGACGATGGACTGTCATGGACAAGGCAGCGAGAAGTAAGAGATTATGTCTGCAGAGAACTTGCTATTATCGCCCTAAGAGCAGCTATCTGGTAGCTTTCGATTTCGGACGCACCTCAGTAACTTGATTGACCTGCTGTCGAAAACTTCTGTAAGATAGATCCGCACAAATTTTGCCTTGTCGTTGCACATGAAATTTGGATAAGTATTTTACCCATCAGACGCCGATTATACTTGTCTTGTAAGTCGACTTTAAGTATGATAATTCTTGATGGGTATCAGGAGCGTGATTCTTCAGTTCCTACAACGTCGTCTGTGTTCTTGGTCTCAACAGCCAGCCTGTCCAAAACTTTCCTGACCTCTTTCTTCCAGTCGGCTGTAATACACAGATAAATGCCCCAGGCAGAGCAATAAATGAGAGCAACCGTGATTCCCACCCACAGGCCCACTAGACCCATGTCCTTCTTGAACGTCAGCCAAATACCAAAAGGAATACCAATGACGTAGTAACCACTGCAAAAAAAGTTATTGAAGTAATCATGGCTGGCACGTGTAGACCTTACCTGAGGTTGAGAAGCGCGCCAATGACCTGCAAGAAGACTAAATTAAGAGTGCGATAAAACAACCAACCTAGCAACTTACTTGTTTTCCTTGTGCTCGTAAGATACCACCAGAGACAGCGGTGATTCCATCGAAGATCTGGAATATAGCAACAAGTGGTAGAATGGATGCCACTAATGTTGCGACCTCTGAGACTAAGTAAGTATCGAAATGCACATGATAAAAATTATCCTACCGGGGTCATCATTGACGATATGCGCCCACGACCGCCTGAACGATATAAACATAGTGCTAAAAATTTCGCATGTCAGCACTGTTTGACCTGAAACGCGCGCAATATGTACCTCCATACTAGCGCAATGGCAACTGCAAGAACGATCGCGGCGTATGCGGAGACACCGGCGCGCCTCGCCTGCCTTTTACCTAGAAGATTCCCAATCCTATTGGAAATTTAGCTGAGATATCAGCTAGATTGAACGTGACATACCGTACAGACGCTGCCAAGGACAGGGCAAATGGAGCTTGGAATGTACAGGAGGCTGAGATAAGTAGAACGGATTGGGCAGCTAGGGGAGCGGTACCGAGCCTATGGATGAATGTCAGCAAGATTGGCTACCTATGCGGTTAGTGCCATACAAACTAGCGGCCACTGTCAAAACGCAGATCAGCATTTAGATCCTTAAGTTGCATACTAATACACGCACAGTTATTAAGCTCCCATGACCACCATTCAGACGCGATCTGGCCAATGCCAGCGATTCCCAGCCGCACAAGACAACCCAAGCCAGTAAAGCTCTGCCTTGAGATAGGATGCCAGGCGGTCTTCTCGACATAAAAAATGCCATATACTGCTGATGAGATCGAAATAAGATTGAGGGATACAGCAGTGGCGATTGGAGCTCCACTGAAACCAATCCTGACGGGCTCGGGACCCCACACTGGAAGAGTGTATAAGCTTCCAATTGAAAAGGAAGGATAAACAACATTATCACCCAAAATGTAATTCAAGAGGGCATTTATCGGTGCTACAACCAGAATAATCCTAGTCGGCACAGAGAAGAGTCCTGAAAAAGCAATCGACGATCAAGATGCAATCCTCCCAGTGATGTGATTCATTACCTTGAGATTGAAAGTAGCGCCTGTAATCCTCAGAAAGTCAGCATTAAATATACTTATACTGTGGACTATCGCACCGCGAAATGCAGTTGAAAGAATATGCTGGGAGCCCCAAAGAAGCCCATTTTAAGTAGACAGCAGCTAGGTGCGCAACTTCAGGATCCTGTCTGAGCAGAAGTAAAATTGATTCAGCGTTGAACCAAATCATGAAAATTGGCTGGAAGTATGTCAATAAGAGAACAGCAGGAACGGTGGCATGCATACGATAAGGGTTGCAGCTGTCACAACAACTGCAAAAAATGATTAGATGTAGGAGTTCACGAGGGAGAGAAATGGGGGTGCCCGAGTGCGCAGACATGGGGAAACTCAGCGGGATTCCGTTTCAACGAAACTGCTGCCACTTTAAAAACGCAAATGTTATTTCCTAGTCTTGCCTAGTCAGATCACACGACCAAATTGAAGTAATAGACGCCTACTTACTTGTACGAACTCAGTATGGTGTGTGCTTGTAAGCCGCTATCGGATGCGAGTACTGTCTGCAATTTGTTCTTGTCAGACCACACGATCGGACGCGAGTACTGTCTGCAATGCATTTTGCGGGCGGATCCGCTACACGGCTCCACTGACGTAGTAGTCTTCATTGTGTTGTAACGCGTCCTGCGGAAGTTCTGGAACCATTGCTCGGCGAAGGCAGTCTCGTAAGCAGTAGGCTGGACCCGAATCGCAGGCAGTACTTGTTCGAGTACGACAACCTCGCCATGATACCAGCACTCGGCAAGATACTTCTTTCTGTGGTACTTAGGACGCGTTGATAATAATGCGGGTGGGGTCTGATGCCTGATTATCTGCCAGACCCTAGGGTTGAGTTATGGAATGGAGGTTTTTCCTCTACTTAGGGGCCGGTTGCCGTTGAGGGATCGGAGTTGAAATGGAAATCGATTGTAAAAATAATTTAGAAATAATTGTCTTTCTCAAATGACGGAGGGATTGCGTCCTCCGCTGCAGCGCACTGCACACGCTCATGAGCCCAACGAAGATGATCTCGAAAAACTCAAGAAATGGCAAGAAGCTCGTCTCGAAAGAAAACTCCGTGGAGAGTATGAGTCTGCTGTGTTCAACCTTGCAGAGCTCGTGAGTCACGCCGAATTCATCCGCTAACCTCCTAACGGATCAACAACAGATCAACAAAAATCTTGAGACACCACTAACGGTCACCTCAGTCCGCGTAGATGGTGCCACAAATACGAGGGGGTCTTTCTTGGGCTGGTTGATCCAGCCATGGCTTGCGCGGCATACAGACGACCGGGCCAGCAAATCGAACAACTTGCAAGGAGCGCTGTATACCGCAAGGGGCATAAGCCACATTCTGCAAGAGACAGACCTCTTCCACTCTGTGCATGCGGAAATTCAGAGGAGTCGAGACCACCTTGCCAAAGACGGGGACGTCGACATCGTTATCAACACTCGTGAAAAAGGCCGGTTCTACTTAAAATCTGCAACAGAATTCGGTAATAATGAGGGTAGCGTTGTGAGCATCGCTTTCTTACGAGTAACGATGTGACGCCTTCATCTTGCATCACCAGAGTCTCACGGGCAGAGTGCGCAACGTGTTCGGTGGAGCTGAGTTACTCGAAGGACACTACTCGGCAGGAACAAAAACGCGTCGTTCTTTCCACGGGCTTCTCTCCCTTCCTCTTTCGCCGTCTCTGCGCACAACGGGGCAAATTTCGTTGTTCAGTCTTGAGCGTGATCTCTCTACTTTTGCAAGTTGTTCAGAGATTTCCCACGGCTTAAAGGCTGCAATAAATGTAAGTTTGATGACTTCTCCTGGAAAACGTAACATACTGAATCTGTGCTCGTGAAGAGCGACTGGGGAGCTCACGGTGTCCATGAAGTCGCATATCAGGCCGTTTTGAGGCATATCAACAATTTAGCGCCAAGTGCATCAGTAAGGTCAGTGATGAACACGTCATATAATCGCGACTGCGCTTAAGGACTATGCAGCATTCGCGAACATGCTGGTCAAACTATCAAGTCATCGATTTCTCACACATGGACAAAAGACACCAGAGATGATAAGCTCGCAGCGTCGCGTGGCTACTATGGCAAGCTTTTCCAAGAACTAGCTGGACTGTCAGGAGACGTGTCGTTTTACAAGGCCGAGATTGAAAGTCAAATTTCCCGGCGCCTTGTTCCGGGCATGGTGAGACTCGTGCTGGTATTGTCTCGGTATGGCAAAGATTCATGTTGAATACGCAGAGTCTCTCATTGGCTGTACGGTCCGGCATCCTGAAAGCTCTTTCCGGTCACAGCCATTTTTCTGATAGGTTCCAGCTTGGCGGACCGCTCAGTTTAAGGTCATTCAGGGCAAACAGTCTGGGCCCTCGGGATGGAGGTATTTCCAAAATGTTCACGTGGAAAGGGCCTTTTTTGAACTGACTGCCGCTAGTCGATTCACTTGGTGGTGACATTTACTGGTCAACAGGTGCTTCTTTGGTGTCCGATATCCCGCGGAAACCGCATTGGCCCATTAAGTCGCATATCTTCGTGAACGCCGGGAGGTTAGATGCGGTCGACGGAAGTGCGTAAACGGTTGATCATTGCCGCTCTCGAAAGATACTGATGGTACTTTTGTTCTTTGCCTATGATAGCAAAAGGATTAGGTGAGAATATAATGGGGTGCCTAAGAAGACCCTCGATTTCCGCGGGAGTTGGCCTTATATACCGCTTTGATCCCGTGAGAGTGGAAGTGAACTTTGGGGTGCCACTTTTTGCAAGCAAGAGCGATGGTGTGCGGAGGGGCTTCCAGGTTGGCATTGGCATGGAGTTTCTGTAAATTCTTCGTGTTCGGGCGTGCATGTTAGAGTCTAGATCACAATTTAAGCCTTCCTTTCGGACTTCGGAAGCCGTAAATTGACCCCCATGGATGTTACCTAATCCTCTACTTCTCGGTTTGAGTTGTTTCACTGCTTGCCAATCCCCGCTCATCCAAGGTCTAAGTGTCTCGTACGTTCAATTGCATCACACCTGTGTTCTACTGACATATTTTACGTAGTTACAATGCCTCTACCATACGACCTATGCGCTCGCGTACAAAATGCTTTTCGAGCACGACACCACAAAATAGCAGTGGACCACACAACGCAAAACCTCGGGATCCTAAGCATCCTCCTACGAACCGGCTTCATTTCCAACGTCACGCGTGGAACCATCGAGTCACCCTCTCCCACTGACTTTCTCCGCGTTGGTGAAGCCCAGCGCCGTATATGGGCTGAGCTCAAATACCGCGACGACCGGCCTGTGCTTTCGGACATGGAACTCATTAGTAGACCCAGTAGACGCATCTTTATGGACATCGGGGAGTTGCGACGGATTTGCTCCGGACGCAGGGCGCAGACAATCAAACCGCTGGGCATGGGTGAAATTGCGGTGGTGCGGACAAAAAGCAAGGAGCATGAATGGTTGGAGGCGCGAGAGGCTTTGCAGCTAAATTTGGATGGAGAGGTAATTTGTCGAGCTCGTTGATCCCATTAAAGGCCTGTTATTGGTGCGCATAGGAATTATACATCATTCCTTCATTGAAGCTCAATTTACTCTCTAGTTCTGCATATATCATAATAAACCTTTCCACCTGTCGAAATCATCTGAGGCGTGTGCATAATTTTGATACTCAATATCTTCATAATGCCGGGAAGTTGATGCCAATAGCTCTGGTGATCACGCTGTTGACAAAGGTGCGCCACGCACTTGTGTAGGCACTAGGCGCAACTGTGGTCACAATATCACGAGTCTCGGAGAGGTGTATGTTGACGCTCTTTTTGATCATAATGAAAATGAGACAGTAATAGTTCCATTGGTAAACAGGAAGGTATCATGGTACTTGTACTGATGAGTTTACAACAAGGAGCGTGGTGACACGAGAATAATGTTCATCAAATAATGGTATACTGTCCCACATAGACCAGAGCACCTCCATCTCCATCCCTGCACCAGCATCCGTTGTTCAAGCATTGACACCGATTGGAGTACAGCCAAGGCTGATGACGCCATTCTGGGGAGGGCACGTTGGTTGAATCTTAAACTCATGGATAATTTGGCACTCACGTATTTATTATCCTCGCAGCAAAGAGGCTGCTGGGTTCCCGTGCAGCCAGAAGAAGTACCGACACCGGTAATGCCAGAGCACTCGAGACCTACAACAGCGTCTACCACTGCAGCGACATCAACCAGGCCGAGCTCGTAAAAGATGGATTGTGCTCCCGAGTACTACAAATTTGCAATTAGAATATCATTGCATGCTGTTCATGATTGAGCTCACAGAGGTACTGCTCTGACAGCACTGGATGGTACCAGTATCGCACTGACTGCTCTGAGCAGCAGCAAAGAGGGCAAACGGAAGGAGAGCGAAGATGCTGGCGATCATTTTTAGAGGTGGAAGCTGATTATACCCGGTGAGTAGAGTTGGGATTATTGTTGTCTTTCTGCCTTGCTTTTATGCATTCTCGGTTTACGGAATCTTACTGGAGGTGAGAATTTCCATTGTCATATCAAAAAATTTATAGTAAACACGACAGGTCCATCAACGAGCACCCCTTCATGCGAAGTTCATTAAGCTTCGAGTACCATTCAATCTCCACATCAAAAACAAAGACTTCGACTGAAGACTCTTCTAGATTCTGATGGTGTGCATATTTCTTCCGTACAGATCTTGATGATCCGTCATTTCGAATGCTGATTGGACACTCGTTCTCGTCAGTGTCATTTTCGTCGGTTGATTTCTGTTGTCAATTTTTTATTCTGATTGTTAGATCAGCGTTTGCAGTGCTGTGGAGTCTAGGCCCCGAATAAAATTTGCTGATGACCTTACCGACGACCGCACACACCTCTCCTCGAACTTGGGATTTCTGCCGATTCGGATAGAACTACAATACTCTACACATGCCGTTCCCAAAAAAACTCCACGCCGCCGTCGTATTGTCCCTGCTTGGTCCTCGGAGTCTGCAAATGGGCTACCGGTTAGCGGTACTAATCCCGAGGAAGTGCAGCAACGCTAATGCCAGAGCACGGAGACCGACCAAAGGCATAGGCCGTGGCGTTTACAATTCCCTCTTGGTCCAAGTAGGAGGCAGATCGGTCCGCTCGCTCGGAGTCACCGCTGCTTAAAACATCAGGTTAGTGCGTCTATCAAGGGGAAAATCTGAAACTCGCAAGGGGGTTGCTGTTTCAGCAGATGAATGATCAAGAGTTGCTGCAAGGCTGCTACTTGCGCAACGGAATATTCATGTGTTCTCCAGGCTGCGGGCCTTTTGAACCTCCCATTTTTGGACACGACAATCGGTTGTGGAACTTAGAAGCATTCGGCAATGACTTGCTTTCCTGTCCAGCACCGTGACACCCGCGGCCTGACGCGACTATCACGTGACCGCGATTGTCGTATTCACTACCGAGCTTATGCCCGAGATCCTCGAGATACTATAGCCTTGTATGCCTAAATATTCAATCTTTCATCCAACTTTCATTCTAATACTTTAGGCAAGCAATGTAAAGATTACATAACTGCCCGCCTTTTGCGCCTAATTAACATCCACATCATGATTCAGATTACGTCGGTGTCACGGAACACTTGTGTTGCCTCGTTTGTCTGGGAAGCTTCTTCGCTTATAGACAAGTGACAAATTAAGTATTTTCTTGGTGAACACTGAGGATCTGTATGACATCCAATACACTCCAATGTTCAATATATTTCCATGCTTGGGCTCGAATCTGTCCATGCTGCAAACAATACTGTAGTGCGCTCTTTAATACAGCTGCGGTGTCCACCCTTTCACCCGCACTGATATACGAGATCGTTGCTTTCCAAGCCTCGCGGTGATCATACATTGACGTTAATAGGTACACAACCAAGAGAGCCCACGCCATCCTGAAAGAAGGTCAATTTGGGTACTTTGACAAGAACCACTGACTCACAGAGGTGTTCTTTTCGCAGCATACGGGCTCTTGGTTCCCACTGCAGCCTGTGGAGGTGCCCACAACGATAGCCCCCGAGCACTCGTCCTCTGCCCAGAATTTAACGATTCCCCTCTGCGCAACATATTCTGCCGCCTTGGAGGACTGTTGTGGAAAGGAAGTGAGAAATCATGTCGCCAGGCGACATTTGGTAAAATACCGTGGAATTCGGGGTACAGCACTTAATCTCTCCGGTGTTGCACTGCGAGTCGCCGGCAATGACAAATAGTGTCAAGGATAAGAGAGCTACGATATGTTTCAACATCTTGGGGGTTGACCGTTAATGTCGGTATGTACAGAGGTGGAGTTGAAGCTAACCTCCATACAGCCTGATCCTTTATACATCCCCATTGTTCGACGGTGTGTCCTGTAGCGTGTAGAAGTCCGTTGGTTCTTTGCGAATTTCAACGTTCAAATCAACTCCCGCGGACCAGCATCGTTGTAATTGCAGACAACCGACCTAGCACCGACGTGGCCACGACTAAAATGGTAGAGGTATCGCTGCATGTCCTGGATTCATGTGTTGTAAGTGTTGCTCACTTCGACTACTGCATCGTACGATTTACTGTTTCGAAGGGTAGTGCCTGTCCATGCAGAAACAGCCCGTTAACTTCCTCAAGCACCTGGTAGAATTTTCGTCAAGTGGAGCTTGAGTGCGCATTCGTAAGACCGTTGCTTCATCACCACGAAATATGGCCATGTCCGTTTATCTCGCCCGACATTCGTCCATTGTTGTGGCTCTTTTACTGGAGAATAAAGTATGCGGATTGCCTATCATTGTCGAACTGCTGAGAGTCTTTGCGGCGTCTTTTGTTAACGTTATTTCCATGTGCAGTGGAATAAATATTGTACGTGCGTACTATATGCACGCTATTACTTACAAGTTGCATGCAAATCCTCATCAACGCACGTGTCGCGGTCAGAACGCCCGTCTTCGTTATTTTCCGATCGAGACATCTTGGTGAAGTTATGCAATGGGGGTATGCACAGCGAGTTGGCGACCCAGTTGTTAGACTCCGAACGACCCGAGATAGCTGAGAGGAGAGTGACAGGTCCGAGCCCAAGCCACAATGGACATTGACGTATTGACGTCGGCTCGTGTCCTGCAATATGGTACTTTTTCGATTGATATATTTTTCGTTTCTACGCAACTTACTATAAGATCGCCAGCAGTAGCACGAGCGCATCTCAGCTTCTTTCAAGAGACTGAGATCTAAGTTAATAGTGTCGTCGTATCAGCTAGAAGAAACCGACTGAGTTCGTAGTATACTTTGTTTATTAGGTACATGGTTCGTTAGCAGAGCTTCTTTCAAGAGACTGAGATTATACTTTGTTTATTAGATCAGTCCCCGAAGGCCCGCGACTCACTATTCACCATACCAGTGCCTCGAAAGCTAGATCATTTTTGTCCGACAAAATGCAGTCGAGGCAAGAGATCGTAGACTGGCGACAGGCTTGTCTGGACTATGAGACAAGCCGTCGAAGGAGATCGAGTTGCAGACCTTCAGAATCGTGTAAGTTAGCGGAAGGGGACAATACGAGTAAGTGTGATGATCCCCGATTGGTTTACATAAAGACGACAGTTACCACCATTGTGCTTCTCAAAACCCTCAAGAAGTACGACTTGCAGTTAGGGGCACAAAGCCTTAAGTAACATTTTGTGATGGCGTCGCTTGGTGCTTGTCGCACATACTTGGTCACACCTGCGGTACATAGAATTACCTCGTGCGTAGAGTCCCCGCTTAGCGCTCAACATCAACAGCCTGCCAGTTACCCACTGACAACGTTCGCGCTCCGGTTCGAGAAATGCTGGGAAAGTTACCCCCCCGATGGACCTGAGCCAAATTGAGCAGCAGCAGCTGTCAATGCTATCTCGCACCGTGATCAACAGATCGTGGCTTCTGCGCAGGAAAAAGCAGGATAGAGACGCAAAATGTTGAATTGTCACCCTGTTCCACTCATTGCCTTGATTCTCTGCCTTCTTCGTAGTCCTCGCTTACACTGTCGCTATGATAACATGGCAGGTGATGTGGAGCACTGTCGGGTGGCCTTGCATGAGTGTCCCCCTGACCATTTTCGTAGGTCCACGTCTCTCAAGAACTTTGCGATCAGCCTTCGAGAAAGTTTGAGTAGCGGGTACCGACTTAGAGGAGGTCGTTTAAACTCGGACAGAGAGGAGGAATTCGCTGTTGAGTTAGTTCGTCACTCAGTGTGCCAATACTAAGTAGTCTTCCATAGGCAGACCATAAACAAAGGAGCAGTCGTTCCTTCTGCATTACAATGACGATAAAACAGCGATACAAAACGAGAATTATTTATACCACTTGTCTGCTGCGGCGCGAGCGGTTGACAGTGCTGGAACGCTCCAAGTGGGATTTCAGCATCCGTATGGTCTGCACAATCTCACCTGTCACCAACATCAGCTCGGTAAGATGACGACAAATACCTCGACTTACCTGCAAGCTTCGGCGTATCCGCCTCGAAGTCGTAGCGCTTGCTCCCGCTGTCCCGTTGCACGATGATCTTGAATAGCGTTGACGATTTCGCGGACTGTTGGCATTGGATGATGCTCTTGATATGAAATGACACCGTCTTTCCACTATCAAAGACCGCTTTGGCCCTGTTTGTGGATGGCATGATCTGGAGGAAGATTGTCATTAGGAAGCTTTTATGGTGACGGAGGAGCTTACATGGATATAAACACCATCGATAGCCAAAGTGCGTTCCTGACGAGCTAGCATAGGCATTTTGCGGTAAATGGTATATTTCTTTTATCAAGAATCAAAACCGAGAGGAACACAGTCAGGAAAGGGTTGCAAACCTTGTATGCCGTTGCGTAGTCAGCTGCAGCGCTTAACTGCATCTCTGGGACATCTGACATCCGTTTCGAAATAGAAGCTGGAGAAAGAAAAAACACTTAGCAGCTGTACTGAGCGTAAGATGTTCACTGGTACCATTCGGGTCCGTGGTGCGTGCTGATCTGCTTTCGGGCTCAATCCCCAGTTGAGGCAGCGTGGATCTCTTGACCAGCGTCAGCTCGCGCCTACCGCCGAGACTAGCAACTGTGCGGTCGAGGTACGCCAGCATGTTGAGTTCGTTGACGATCAGAGCGTAGTCCTTGAGGTTTGCCAGTTTGCGCTTCCGGCAAACTAATTCAAGTACCTCCTGCATATACATACCGGCTGACCTGTACTCAGTGGTGAGGGGGGAAGAGGGCAACATCGGCAAATCCAACTTACACGGGAATGGTGGTCGATATGTGGACTGCATCAGCGGTGTCTGCAACACGAATACGCAAGAATAGCTGAGGCCCATGGCTTGACGAAGGACCCAGAGAAGATGATAAAATTGGAGTTGTACCGAACATGGTACTTGCAGCGCCGGAGACGGATGGCAACGTCAACCCGCCTGGTGGTCCTGAATCCTGTTTCTTTGGTGCTGCCATAACTCTCGAAGGACGTCGCTGTATCTTGCTCTCCAGTTGTTCATTTTGTTGTACTGAGCAGGATAATTAGCTTCGGCAAACAAAGAAAAGGTGCCGTACTTTGAAGTGGAGTAGCAGCTAGCATAGCGAACGCTTCAAATCCGAACTTTGAGATTTTGCCTGTGCGGTCGGGTGCTGTACAAATAAGTATGAATTTTCTTTTATGCCAAGCAAAGAACTGGGACATACGCGGGAAATCCTCATCGACCTCACCATCATCCTCCGCAATGCGCATGATCCAACCTATCGCAGAGAGCTTCGGGTCATCGTCCTTCACACCGTCATTCAGCTCAGGCATCCATCGCTCTTCCCAGTACGTCCATAACGCGAAACCAATGACTTCCTCGATGGTTGCGTCTTTTCGCACGTGCAGAGTCATATGATCACCACGAGGTTCTTTTGCATGCGGAAAGAAAACCTTGACGTCCATCGAGGCCGTCTCTCCCCGTCCAGATATGGCACCATAGAGTTCACTGAATGGGTTAGCGGGACCGCCGGACGAAGCAAGGATAGCGGTCAGAGCAGATGCATGCGGGCGCGCTGGTACGACAAGCTTGCGTGTGAATGTCATGTCGGACGGAGTGTCGATAACAGGTAGTGAGATTGAGACGCCTCTTCTTCGCGTCTCTTGCTTGGGTGGTAGCGGATCAGATCGCTGAACAGGTTTTGGCGCTGGGCTAATCATCTCGAAATAAGTCTCGATAGGCTTGGAATGAAGGGTTGGAGGAGACCCCTCGTGAGCTTCATCCACAGCACGATGTTCAGATACGGGGCTGAGTCGTGAGCGTGCCCGAGGGTGGGTAACAACAAACGGCGACGTTTCTAGCGTGGAAAGATTGGACCCAGACAGCGCTGAGGCAGTCCCTGAGAGAATGGAGGCCTCATCAGATGCGCTGTCCGAGTTGATGCCTCGGGTCGCAGCAAAAACTCTATATATAAGGCAGTGAGCTTTCCATTCATGCGGCAGATACAGCGCCGTACGGATCAAATTCGTCAGCTTCATCCATATTGTCATCTCCTGGAGCGACCAAATCAAAGTCGTCATCGTTATCATCCTCCAACATGCCATCCTCGTCGTCGGATGAAGAGAGGTCGGGATTGAGGCTACGTGTCGTCACAGAGGGTGCCTTTGGCATGGAAGCTGGGACACCGCGGCGCGCCATCATTCGCAATCTTCGCCTTGCTTCCATTTCGGCCGCACCTTTGAATTTCGGCACAAATGGAACGTCCTTCGGAGGCAGCTCAGGAGGGACATCATCTTTCCTTAGTGCGGGTTGATGTTGTACAGGTATAGGTTGCGTAATATCACCATGCTCTGAAGTGATTGGACGCGTATCAGCATCACTAGCAGCAATGAAGTTGACGCGTGGCGGAGCGGCAAGTGCGGTCGCATCTGCTCCCTCGTTACGCATATTAGCTCTATTTGCGATGAGAGAGGCTCTCTTCGACGTAGAAGCGCGTCGACCGGACACTCTCAAACCAAACGCTCCCGATCTGTTGCCCATGATAGTTTGGTGGTGTTTAAGACCAGTTGCTCCAGGGAAACCAGAGGAGGGCTTATCAGGAGCCTCCGATTCATCATCTGATATAGGTGGACTAGAGGGATATTCGAGTTCTGGCCAACGATGAACATCGGCAAGTGAGGCTGCGAGAATATAAGGGTTTGAGGTGTAGGATGGGCTCAGGGAGATTATACGTCCGCCATATGGATCATCGACATTACGCAGGTAGGACAATCTTAGACTGTGGACTAAGTATCTGTAAATCAAAGGCATGAGTGCACTATTGGAGTCATCCAGACCTTACCAGGCGTACCCTGGGTCACTAATGAGAGACATGGCATCCACCAGCTCGGTCGTGCCCTGACCTTGCCAGCAGGACAAAAACTGACAACTTCAACCTTCAGGTATTTCAGAGCAGTGAAGATAATAGAGCCTGAGCTAAGCCTGGGCCTGAGTAGACAAAGCTCGTTATTTGGAAATTCGAGGTGTTGGTTAGACAACTGACATACAGAGTTAGTGATAGACAGGCACGCCGTTACCAATCCAACTTGTTGACCGGGTAAATACAAAGTATGCATATAACCGGTAACCGGTAAGTGTACAGCAACCTCGCATACCAGACAAAGAGCAGCGAAATAAACTATTGATTAAATTATTACCAGTGGTGTCGGTACTTAATGTAACAAAACAAAAATCGAGGAGGAGAAGACATCGTCACGATTTCACAACATCGGTTGTTATGAACTGTTTCTTCACTCTCGAGTCTCTGCGAGACATACTACATATTGTTTCGTGGTCTTGAAATCCTGCATTGATAGGTTTCATGTGATCCCTCTTGGCATTGAGGGGCACTCTGTGGCAGTAGGCCTCGTCTAGCAAGTCGTTGTAGTGCATCTTGTCTGTAAAAACCATCCACTGCATCTCACGTTCTCTAGCTCTTTCTTGGTAGGAATGGGTTATGGAGACAATACGAGTCCATCTCGACAACTTACGCCTATCCGCATCAGCGCATCAACAGCTTCGCGACATGGATAAATTCACTTGTTATATACGGAGCTTTCAAAGGAAGGAGGAGGTTCGGCCCATCTCCGACTTTGGCACTGACAGCCAACTCAATTAATCTGCGCTTTGGAAGCCACACCCTCTGATATATATGGGACGCGTACAGAGTTACAATTAGCCAGCGACCATTTCTGCTGCGCGTTCGGAAACAATCAAACAATCAAATCGTAGAGTTTGGGCGCTGTCATGGTCGACGATAATGATACAACATACTTAGCTTTCTTTTTTTTCTGACTGCTGTGATTGTAAGCACCCAAGTTTGCATTTTACTGTCTTTTGCGAGGCATACTAACAAGTTGTTTGCCTCCTGTCGAAGTCACGCTGCACAGCCACACATTTAGATTCAGATTGTGGTCTGGAATGTATACTACTCCTTCACAAATGCAAATTAGAAGAAGTACTACGGAACGGTACATAATATGACCTGCGACATTTTTCAATATGTCAGCCTCAATCTTGGATCAATTTAGTAAGGGCTCGTGCCAGCCTGGCGTATACTATACTACGGACAAGTCGAGTGGCATAGCCATCAACCTCAAAGACGTAGTCCAGACTGGTTACGAGTCTAAGTTCACAATGACATTGATATCGATGACGCAGTTTAAAACTTCGCTGTTCTTGAGAGGTTTCCTTTTCTCCATCTCATTAACTAATCTCTGACCACCCCGCCACGAGTTTCGTCATTGTCAACAGGCCTCTACATTTCTCAGCCTTTCTCTTCTGAACACTGCAGTTCTTCGCCATCCTACTCCGATGGACCGTCAAGATATAATATACAGCTCCAGTGCGATTTCAATGTATGTCATCAGTTTAGTTACTAGTATCTGCATGCACGATACACTGACCTTGTGTGTAGCACTGGTCTTTGGGGTCACGCCCGCTCAGTTCGAATCCCAAATTCTCATAGATCCCAACAAAATGACAAGCAGTGGAGGAATTCAGCCTTGTTGGCCTGATTGCTGATGGCTGCCGCCTGATATCCGTTGTACTCATCACACAGCCACCAGTCTCTTCCGTGGCCAATTGGCTGAAGCCAGTACCACACGACGTCCTCTTTTGCGCCGTGGTTCGGGCACTTGTCAATCTCTTATTTGTGCTGAATATCTATTTCAGCCTGTTGGACATCCAGGCTGCTGGGATACGGGCAAGTACTACAGCTTTCCACATCGCTAAATCTGACAGAACCCATCTTTCAGAATCTATCCTACAGGCCCTACCTGTTCTTCGTCGCCTATGTTTACTTCTCCTTACCAATGTTTCTTTCGGAAATGACTGGGGTGACGAGCATGGTAGCATTGGTAAGTGCAGTCTGAGTGGGGGACAATGTTACAGCTGAATGCTGCACAGCAGTCACGTGGTGGGACTCATCACTCATTATGATACATAGGATTCACGGACAGTTTTTGTGGGTCGCTCGGAGATATCTTCAACATTGTCCTTAGCGCTAGTGGATGCATTTGACAACCACTGTCACTCCTTCGCAAGACTGGCCCCCTCGTTACTTCTCTCAGTCTCTATGATATCCGTGGCGCACCCGGTGTTGCAGCACATGTAAACCATGTTGGCACTCACAATGGGGGACGGCGTTACTCGCTACATAGTATGTTAACCATTCGTTTGTTCAATCAGGTTTCAAGGTCGATGGTTACCCTGCTGACAAACTCGATGAGGCCCTTGATGGTGTCGAAGGCATCATTATCCCTGCTGGTGTCCCAAGAAAGGTGTGTTTCTGCTCCATATCCTAACACTTTCTTGCACAATAGTGACTGCCTTTCAGCCCAGTGTAAGTCATACAACTCATTAGTTCATCTGCTCTAATACCTTCGGTAGATGACGTGTGACGATCTATTCAATGTAAGTGGAACAAGCGCTCCATAGTTGCCTCCACCCTCAAGAAGGCTGGCGTTTATGACCTTGTATGCTTGTTCGGTAACAAACCTTGATGTTGTCCCTGCCACTCGCTTTGCCAGTGGTATTGCAGGCATTGAGTCCTTGACACACCCATAAAAGCTATCGCAGACGACCTTTACAAGGCTCATTCCACCGCATCCAGTTCGGTGGTGATGAGGGCGTGAAGGCTAAAGATGGTGTGGTAGCGCCACCCTCTCGATGGCATATGTTGGTGTCAAACTCACTGTTACGGCTGTGCTTATCTTGCTTCTTTTTCCCTTGATACACGCTTACTACGCATGTCTCTTATCATGTTATATTTAGTTCGGTATTACTCAGACGCCTCATTGCTTACGCATGTGCTTACTGATACATACCTATTATTACGTCATACCCTGTACCCAGTATACTATATAAACCCTGGCTAGGTGATGCTGATTCTTCAGCTTAACCTACACTGGTTTTCCTCTGAACATCTGACTTGATTCTAAGTTACCTCTTCGGTACTTAGCCTAGACTTGACTTTGGACGTTCTCAAGACTGTTGTCTTGAACGTATCAACAGACCTTTGGTCTTATTGATTATTGTTTGCCTGCGTTATACTTCGGCATAACAAAAGGTTAAGCTCTATCACAAGATGACGCTACCCTAGTAGTCGTCACGATACATTGTGGCTTATCGCGACCAACGACAGTACTCCTCGGAGTCTGAACACGACGAAGAAGAACATTTCTCTGAACCAGGTTCTCCTATCCAACAGGATAACAACGAATACATAGAAGGATACGGACCTGATCAACCAGGACCATCGAACCCACCACCACCACCTAGATCCCCGACTCCGCCTCCCCCATCCGTACCTAGATCACCATCTAAGAAAATGGGTGAACTCAACTTGAACAGACCACCAAACTTTGACGGATCACAGAAACAGGCCAAGGCCTGGTGGGCAACTGTTTCCACATATATCACCGTGAACAAGACTGTCTACGACAATCATGAAAAATGCATTGCATTCGCAACGTCATTCATGACTAAAGGACACGCTCAGCAATGGGCCACAGGATGTATTAATAGGAAACATGATACCGCGACCCCTATGGGGAAGTGGGACGAATTCATCGACGAATTCCAAGCGGTGTTCTATCCTAAGAATGACACACTCACTGCCGTCAATATAATGATGAGAGCAAAACAGACTTCCACTATCTCGGCATACATTGCCTACTTTAAACAAATCTCAGCAGAAGCATGATGCATAGATGCAGACGTCGAAACAACGTGTTTCAGACAAGGACTCAGGAAAGAAGTCCAAGAAGCCATCCTCATGAGAGAAAAGATGCCCGCCACTATCAAAGAATGGATCGAAGCCGCTAGAGAATATGAATCTAGAAGGCTACTCATGAGCTCTGGAGGAGGCTTCTCAAAGAAGAACGACCCGTATGCAATGGATATAGACAAGGTCGACATCGACAAAGAAGAAGAAACAACTACAGTTCGCAATGCGCGACTTTCTCGTTCTGAACAAGACAGACGTCGCAAATTAGGACTCTGCTTCAAGTGTGGAAAGAAAGGGCTTATGAAGGACTGCCCCAACCACAGAGAATCTGCCCCTGGTTGGCAGATACCAGCCAGACGACCGGTCCGTGAAACCAAGATCGAACAAGACGATCAAGACGCAGAATATCAGGAATTCCTCGCTTGGAAAGCTTGGAAAGCGTTGAAAGTACCTTCTTCTTCTAAGAAGGATTTCTAAATGGGGAGACCGGACCGGCATCGGAAACCCCTAGTACATCTATCGGACTCATTGTATCTTCTGTAGGCGATTCGAATTCTACGCGCATTCCTATTTCGATCGAATCCTGCAAGTCTGATAAAACCGCTGAAGCAGCCGCCTTAATTGACTCGGGCGCCACTGGAACATTCATTGACTGGAAATACGTACGAAAGAACAATTTCTCAACTCACAATCTCTCTTCACAAATCAAAGTCTGGAATGTGGATGGAACGAAGAACAAAGCAGGGACCATTAGTAAAGCCTGCAATCTATTCTTCTCAGCAGGTGGCCGAACCATGTTCGCTACCTTCCTCATTACCTCTCTAGGAGGCGAAGACATCATCCTCGGACTTCCCTGGCTCAAAAACGAAAATCCAACAATAGACTGGGCCAAAAGCGAAATCTCGCTAGAAGAAGACCCAATCATGATTCAAACCCTCGTCTCAGATAGAAACAAACATGCTTCTATGCAACCAAAAATAGAAGAAGTCGAAGACAAAGAAGCATACATATCCTCGGAAGAAAACCCCGAGAATCAACCAGAACTTCTACCCGAAGAAGAAGAAGAAGACCATGAAGAGATAATAGAAGAACTGCAAGATGACGAAGTTCTTATCGCTGATGTTAAAGGAGAAGCATTTGTGGGAATGTATGAGAAAATCAATTTCGACTCACCACTCACACAAGAACACATCCCCACGACCTTCTCTTTCCTGTCCCGAACAAACAGAATCTCTAAAGTTCCTAACTCCGCTCGATTCATGTTCTCTCCTCTCCCCGTATGAAAGGCTGCAAATGTTGCTCAACAACTGGCACAAGAAGCATATGCAAAGGAAAAGCCAAAGACGTTCAAAGAACTTGTGCCCGAAGTTTTCCACATGTACAAGGACATCTTCGACAAAGCAGCCATGGACACTCTACCACCGTCTCGACCTTTCGACCACAAGATAAAACTGAAACCCGATTTCGAACCACGCTCTTGCAAAATCTATCCATTGTCTGCACCAGAAGAAAAGGCGATGAATGAATTCGTAGATGAACATCTGGCAAAAGGAACCATTGTACCATCTCAATCTCCACAAGCATCTCCTTTCTTCTTTGTAGGAAAGAAAGACGGATCCCTTCGCCCATGCCAAGACTATAGAAGACTCAACGATGCAACCGTAAAGGACGCATATCCACTTCCTCGCATTCCCAACCTTATCGACAAGTTAAAGGGCGCAACCATCTTCACTAAAATGGACGTTCATGCTGGATATAACAATGTCAGAATTCATGGTCCAGATAGATGGAAAGCAGCATTCAAGACATCGAGAGGTCTCTTTGAACCAACGGTCATGTTCTTCGGTCTGTGCAATGCCCCTGCAACATTCCAGGCAATGATGAACGACATCTTCTCCGACATGATAGACGAAGGTTGGATGGTCATCTATATGGACGATATCTTAATCTTTTCCAAAGACCTCGAATCCCATCATCAACGAACAATGAGAGTATTACAACAACTTCGTGATCACCAGCTCTCCCTCAAACCCGAAAAATGTGTCTTTGACACCACTGAAGTTGAATACCTTGGTCTCCTCATCCGTCCCGGACAAATTTGCATGGACAAAGTCAAACTAGACGGAGTAGTCAAATGGGAACAACCCACGACTGTCAAACATGTACGATCATTTTTGGGATTCGCCAACTTCTATCGCCGATTCATTGCCGACTATTCCACTATCGCGTGACCACTCATTGATCTTACGAAGAAAGATGCTATCTTTGATTGGTCATCAGCTTGCGATAAGGTGTTTACCGACTTGAAGAACCGATTCCTCTCTGCTCCTGTACTTTCCATCCCTGACAAAGACGCACCGTTCGCAATCGCCATTGATGCATCCCTCTATGCTATCGGTGGCGTTCTTCTTCAAAAAGACTCTAATGGTGACTGGCACCCTTGCTCTTACCTCTCGCAAACCTTCTCACCGGCAGAACGGAACTATCAAATCTTTGACCGGGAACTGTTAGCTATCATATGAGCATTGGAAGCTTGGCGTCACTACCTGGAAGGATCCCCTTTCCCAGTCCTTGTCATGACCGACCACAAAAATTTGACTTACTTCCGCCAAGCCCAACAACTTAATTGTCGACAAGCTCGTTGGCTCCTATTCCTCTCTCGATTTGACCTTCAACTTCAGCACGTACCCGGCAAAGACCTTTCTGTCCCAGATTCCCTATCCCGCAGACCTGATCATATCCCCATTGACGCTAAGGACAATTCCGATGTCACTGTCCTCCCCAATGGACTGTTCATTAACCTCATCAATAGCTCCATGCAGGAGAAACTTCGCATTTCTTCCTCAGTAGATCCTGTAGTTCAGCAAACCATTGATGCCCTCTCTAATCCCTCCCTACCCCTCCCTATGAAATCGGCACTCTCTGATTGGACCTTTTCCGATGCTATTCTTACCTTCAAGGGTCGTAACTACGTCCCTCCAGGTCCTCTACGGAAAGAACTGATCTCTTTGCATCACGATTCCCCTACTGCCAGTCACCCTGGTCGTTTTAAGACTCAAGAAATCCTCTCTCGTAACTACTGGTGGCCAGGCCTTCCCACCTTCATTCGCAAATATGTTGAAGGTTGTGCTGTTTGCCAACAGAATAAGGTCAACACTCACCCTACGGCGCCGCCACTTTGTCCTATTCCCGCCCCCCACTTCATCCCGCCCCTTTGCTCAATGCTCCGTTGACCTCATCGTGGACCTTCCTCCATCAAATGGTTACGATTCTATCATGGTCGTGGTAGACCATGGGCTTATGAAGGGGGTGGTGCTCACGCCTTGCAACAAGACAATTGATGCAGAAGGAGTCGCCGACGTATTCTTCAACCGCGTCTATACACACTTCGGACTCTATGACAAGATCATCTCCGACAGAGGACCTCAGTTTGCAGCTAAGTTTGCGCAAGAGTTAGGACGACTTCTCGGATATAAAATAGCACTCTCTACCGCCTTCCACCCACAAACAGATGGAGAAACCGAACGAGTAAACCAAGAATTAGAAGTGTACCTTCGTGTTATGACCAACGTCCCTTAACCTAACTAGTAGGTGTCTGGAGTTTGGATCACACCACAGGACTCGTCTGAAGAGGATAAAGCAAGGATGGATTTTGAGAGGGAACATCTAGGCCTACGATAACGTAAGAACGAAGAGGTTAAGTCTAAGGAGTACTACTGACTACGACCTAAACTATATACTACTATTGGGGCGGAGCTATCTGAGTATGAAAGGTTGTGATATATCTATATACGGTCATAACATTGCACCTAGGGTATAGGGCGTCTTATCAACCAATCAACTACAAGAAGGGGAAAAGGGTTCATAGGGGTATCGGTGATTAAGCAGGGTTCTCAGGGACTGCTTCTATTCAGGGTAAGCGGATATTAAGAAGGGTGTGAGAGAGTTCTGTGACAAGAAGTCTCGAGCGGTGATTAAGGATCTCGATAAGAGATGGGATCTGGAGATGTATCGGGTGCGATCAGATCTAAGGGTTTCTCCAGGGTCTTCGGTAATGAGCATGCTTCTCTATGAGTGGCGCTTCTGTGATAGGGGTTCAGGGTTTAGCTGTGACTGTGCAACAGGTTCTTATGTAAGGGATTCGGTGAATGACAGAGGTAACTCTTAACATGTCATGTGTGGGAAGTGAAGGTGTGCGATGTGAAGGGATGATGACTCTTCGAGAGTTGGCTCGTAAAGGACTCTCGGTTATGGTTCGATCATAGAGGCGTGTAGATGCTTATGATGTAACCCGTTGCCTAATCGTAGGACTTCTAAAGAGATGATGATCTAGGGTTACGGATATAGATGAATGACGTCAATGTAGTATAGATGTGAATTCAAGATAGTGATCGTTAATCGGTTATCCATCTTATCTTATCAGGGATCTATCTAATCTAATCTTATCGGATAAGGTGACTTAGGGTTTGATAATCGAAATTTAGATGCAGTTGGTAACATTCATGACACTTCGCATCTTCTGTGCGAATGATCAGACCTCATGGTCAGAGAAACTTCCCATGGCAGAGTTCATACATAACTCCCGACATCACTCCGCACGAAACGCTTCTCCCTTCTATCTCATGATGGGATATCACCCTCAAGCATTACCATTGGCTACCGAGAAATCAGATCTCCCAGCCGTCGAAGCAAGAATATCAGAACTCCAGAAGGCTCGAGAAGAAGCCTTATCTTCACATGAACTCGCTAGACAAACCATGAGGCAAAGAATCACCCGATCATTCACACCCTTTAAGAAAGGCGACAAGGTTTGGCTAGAAGCAAAGAACCTTCATCTCAATTACCCCAATAGGAAATTAGCACCCAAAAGAGAAGGACCCTTCCTTATCTCGGAAGTCCTCGGACCAGTCACATACCGTTTAAAACTCCCGAGCCAATGGCGTGTTCATCCAGTATTCCACGCAGCACTTCCTACCCCTTATCGTGAGAATGAAGAACACGGTCCTAATTTCCCGTCGCCACCTCCTGACCTAATTGACGGAGAAGAAGAACATGAGGTAGAAGCCATCCTCGGACATAAAGGAACTCTCTCACGACAACGCTTCCTTGTCAAATGGAAAGGTTATCCATCGGCCGATAATGAATGGTTGTCAGAGTCTGATTTAACCAACTCCACTGAAATCTTGAACAGATATAAGCAGGCACATCGACTCATTCCCCTCTCAACTCGAACCATCATCACTCAACCATTCAGACCATGCCCTCTACCAGTGGACGCAACTACATCTCTTCCAGCGACGAAGACATAAATCTCGTCATCACACACAATAGTGCCCCGAATGTCCCCATTCCCAACCTCAGATTTCCTGTCTTCTCCCCACGTCCTCACTATATGACTATCAGTCAAAGGAACTCTCCTGAACCCCCTCGTCCGACTTCTCCCTTACCACCATCGGGACAATCGTCCCCATATCAAATATTTAACGAACCAGTTATTCCCACGTTTATCGATACCCCTGCTAACCCCATCACTATCCATAACCGTGAGCGCATTGCAGCTCGTCGACGAGCAGCTCCTTGGAGAGTAGTGACTGACCCCTACTTGTCCGATCTTGAAGATCATAGACTTCGCCGTAGGATTATGTTGTCGTCCAAACTCTTCAAAAACCCCATCAAATATGCTATTGACACTGACCCCGCTCTTAATGCCCTCTACGACCTCTATCGACTAGGAGATCGTCTCAAGAACACCTTGGAAAGGCACAATGCCGAGTACAGAGAAGACAAGCTCTTCTCTCTTGACTATAGCATCCGAGACATCAAAGAGAAGCTTCAACAATTGACGTTGATTCTCATGGAGGAAAGAGGTTTCTTCGAAGCCCTAGATGGACTTGGAGGAACTGAGGACGATCGGCGTCATGGTCTTGAGTGAAAGTCTGGGACTTTCCACATAAGAAGGGGGTGATGTTACGGCTGTGCTTATCTTGCTTCTTTTTCCCTTGATACACGCTTACTACACATGTGCTTACTGATACATACCTATTATTACGTCATACCCTGTACCCAGTATACTATATAAACCCTGGCTAGGTGACTCTGATTCTTCAGCTTAACCTACGCTGGTTTTCCTCTGAACATCTGACTTGATTCTAAGTTACCTCTTCGGTACTTAGCCTAGACTTGACTTTGGACGTTCTTAAGACTGTTGTCTTGAACGTATCAACAGACCTTTGGTCTTATTGATTATTGTTTGCCTGCGTTATACTTCGGCGTAACACTCACCAACTCTCTGTTACGGGGCTTGAACAGCGAGAAAGGTGTCATCATGCCTACCTTTGTCGAGAGCCCTCTGTACAAGGACCAGGGCATTGACTTCTTCTGGTCTAATGTGGAGCTTGGCATAAGTGAAGGAAGCAAGACGTCCAGTTGATTCATAGTCAAGTATTCTATAGTCCAGTGCTGTCGAGAAAATTACCCACTTGGGTCTCTCCGCTGAGGAAGAGAAACTAATGAAGGCCTGCTTGCCTGAACTAAAGAAAACATCGAGAAAGACAAGGTGTTTGTTGAGAGCTCGTATATTGGTTAGTTTTAGATTTGCCATCACTCAAAGTACTTTTGCATTATGCACGACTAGTTTACAGCTCGCGCATAAACGAACGTGTCTTGGCAGGTTCAAACCTTGCCTGTCAGCTATCGAGGGTGTCTTGCAAGTTGCGGCAAATTGCAGGCACAGGCCACTTAGCGTTTACTCCAAGGATGTGAAATATTGGGTATTAAAAGGAGACGTGAGCTGACAGCCCTGAGTACAAGGGTCAGCGGTGTGTACTTTTGATACCCGGTGCGTTCTATCGTGATGCAAAAAACCCTTGCTTGGCTGGCACGCCGCACATGTGATCCTCAATCTGACGAGTCGTGGCAAAAGAGCTCTAACGTGATGCCCCTGGTTGGAATCGCTGGTTCGTATATATCCAACCTAACTATGATATACCGGCTCTCCCTTCAAGTATGAATTTACAAACCTCCACCGACCTCCAGTTCCAGTTCCGGGATGTGAGTAATTAACATTTGTTAACATTTGCGTATCACTAACCTATAAGTATTACACTGACAGTACGGTTTCGGTGCTATCATTTCGCTCATGGTATTCTGTCACATAGCTAATAAGGCTCTTGCTAGTATCACTGATGTCTTTTTGGGTGCGTAGTCATCCCCTTTTTTCGGCCGCCATAAATAATTGGTCACAGGTCTACGACTGTTTCCTGACCTTGGCCCAGGAGGTGATTTCATCTTCACAAGATGTAGCCTGTCAATCGACAAGCTAATTGGCGTGTTAGGTATCTCTGATTCACGGGCCACCGTGGTACAAAGGAAGCGTTCTTTATGTCATGGCAAGATACTTCCCAGCCTTCTTGCTCTGTGTATGCATATACAGTGAGTCCAAATAGCATGCTTTACCATCAAATCCCAGCTAATCATATGGAAGTGAATTATCTCCAGAATGAACTTTTTGTGGTAAGAACTTATTGCAAATAGACGTTGCCCGCAACTCTGAGGATTCGCTGATGTAGACTTGTAACTCTCTACATTCGGTGTGGTATGGTAAGTATTGTGGTGCAATTAGTCCCGCTCTAAGTTCGTCCTTCAGGTGCCGCTGCGCTCTGCATCTCTAGTGCGGAAGGTATTACGAATTTTCCAGTGTATCCACGCAGATTACTCATGAGATCTCCACTGGCAGGTATCTTCGTCCTTCGTACTTATGCATTATGGGGAAACAAAAAATCCATTATGGGCCTGATGTTGTCAACGGTACTCGTGCGCATACAGTTACTTTCTCGTATTCCGAACTTTGACACATCTTCCTATTTAACCCCCAGTGCCTGGCAATCTTGGATGTGGTAATTATGACGCAAATATCGAGTCAGTTGGATCGTGAGTATGTCCAAGAAGAGCCACATTCAAATCACTCATCGTGGTCGACAACAGTCCAACTATGGGTAGCGGGTTGGGGTTGTTACTCACCGTCACAAAGCAAGATAACTGCAGCTCCTTGGTCACTTCTGATAGCATTCGAGCTTGGTGAGATCCCTAAACATAAATAGTCGAATGCTTATTTTTTGCCTCAGAGATCATAGTACTCACCATGATTCGTGTATATTGGGCATACCGTGAAAGAAGGTGTCGGCTGCTTGATTTCTTCTGCAACACAACATTTTTTACTTCGGAACTGGGTTAAGCAAGTATTACACTCATGGCTGTCAAAAACAAATTAACCATTGCATCTCAGCACTATCGGTGCTCAATATTCTAGCCCTGCCGGTGCGCGCACAGATATGAATGCACGACATGGACCGAGTTGTACTGATATTTTTTTCGCAGTACAACTCCACAGATGTGTTTGCAACGTTTCAAATCATCATGCACTCAATTGTCGTTACTCGTATGCACCTACAACTTTGCGGCACCACTCAGGTTGGCGGTCTGTCTGAGCCTGGGATAATACCACACTCTCAGTGGACACACGTTGAACTTGAGACGTGTTCGCACTCGAATGCATGATATTGTCAGTGGACCATTTCACATACTAGATTTTTCCCGTCATCTGGCAAATATTTGTGAAGGCCAATGAGGCGAGAAAATTTACCCACTCGGGCCTCTCTCCGCTAAAGAAGAAAAGCTAATGGAGGCCTTCTTGCCTAAACTCAAGAAGAACATCGAGAAAGGCAAGGTGTTTGTGGAGAGCTCATAGATCGGTTAGTGTTAGATTTGCTGTCACTCAAGATATTTTTGCATTATGCCTGACTAGTTTAGAGCTAAATGAACGTGTTTTAGCAGGTTCAAACCCTTCCTGTCGTTAGGGTGTCATGTTATTGCGGTAAATTGCAGGCACAGGCTGCTCAGCGGGTATTTAAAGGAGACGTGCTGACAGCCTTGAGTCGTAAAGGGTCAGTGGCGTGTATGCTACCCGGTGCGTTCTGTCGTGATACAAAAGTGAGGCGCCTTGAACCAGCCTTGATAAGTTACATATTGCTTAGCTTGATGACACATAGGATCCTGATAGAGACCAACATAATGGGTCCGCTTTACGCGATGGGCCCCTGGTTGGAAACTTGGAATTGCTGGTTGCCTTATATCCCACCTAACCATGCCCGGCGACACTAGCACCTCATCCATACTGACTCACTCATAAGAATATGAATTTACAAACCTCCAACGACCTAACCCTCCAGTTCCGGGATGTGAGTAATTAATATTTGGCGACATTTGCGTATCACTGACATATAAGTGCTATGGTACTGGCAGTATGTTTTCGGTGCTACCATTTTCACCGTGATATTCTGTGACATAGTTGACGGGGCTCTTGCTAGTATCACTAGCAGTTTTTTGGGTGCGCACTCTTGCCATCTGTCCAGCCTTCACAAAATAATTGGTTACTACAGGTCTACGATTGTTTCCTGACCTTGGACCAGGAGGTGATTTCATCTTCGTGAGATGTACTGGCCTGTCGATCCACAGACTGACTGGCGTGTATAGATATATTTGATTTATGGGCTACCGTGGAAGAAAGGGAACATTCTTTATGTCACGACAAGATATTTCCCAGGCTTGTTGCTCTGTTTATCCATAGGCAGTGAGTCCAAATAACATACTCTATCGTCAACTCCCAGCTAAGCAGGATATGGAAGTGAATCATCTCCAGAATGAACATTTTGTGGTAAGCACTTGAAGAAAATAGATGTTGCCCGCCACCCTGAGAATTCGCTGATGTAGACTTGTAAATCTCTACATTCAGTGTGGTATGGTAAGTGTTGTAATGCGATTGGTTCCGCTCTAAGTTCGTCCTTCAGGTGCTGCTTCGCTCTCCATGGCTTGTGCAGAAGGTATTACGAATTTTCTAGTGTATAGATGTCGATTGCTCACGGGATTTCCAGGTATCTTCACCCTTCGCACCTATGTATTATGGGGACGGAAGAAATTCATTATGGGCCTTATATTGTCGACGATACTTGTGCGCATACAATTGCTTTCCAGTACTTATTCCGAACATTCCTGTTTGGACCTCCAGTGCCTGGTGATGTTGGATGTGGTAATGACCACAGCAATCTCGAATCGGTTGGAACGTGAGTGTGTCCGAGAAGAGCCACGTTCAAATCACTCATTAGACGTCGACAACAGTCCTACTATGGGGCGCGGGTTGGGGTTGCTACTCACCGTCACGCAACAAAATGGCTGCAGCTCCTTGGTCACTTCTGGTAGCATTCGAGCTGGGTGAGATCCCGTAACTACAGATGTCGTCGAGTGTTTATTTTTTCCGCAGAGATCATAATACTCACCATGATTCGTGTATATTCAGCGTACCGTGAAAGAGGATGTCTGCTGCTTGATATCCTTCTGCAACACAACATTTTTTACTTCGGAACTGGGTTAAGCAAGTATTACGTTCATGGCTGTCAAAACAAAACTAACCATTCCATCCCAGCACTATCGGTGCTCAATATTCTAACCATCGTATACCTACCGGTATGCACTGATCTAAATGCACTGAGTATCCTGATCTTTTTTTGTCGCAGTATATTTCAGATCTTTTTGGGACGTTTCAAATCATCATGCATTCAATCGTCGTTACTCGTATGCACCTACAGTTTTGCGGCACTACTCAGCTTGATGGTCTGTCTGAGCCTGGGATAATACTACACTCTCAGTGGACACACGTTGAACTTGAGACGTGTTCGCACTCGAATGCATGATATTGTCAGTGGACCATTTCACATACTAGATTTTTCCCGTCATCTTACAAATATTTGTGAAGGTTAATGCGGCAAGGACTGCCCTACGGGGTTCACTTCCCCGAGTGGAAGCTATTATTGTGAAACAGTCGTAATATAGAAAGCAAGACATTCGCACTTTCATATGATGAATCGAATTTGCATGTTCAAGTTGCGCTCAGGTTTTCACCGGACTGAGATTAACTTATTGCACAACCCATAAAGTGATCCTACAGAGGTGACCAGAACTCAATCATAGTGCTTCTATAATCTGCCGGACTTCTCTTGCCCTCCCTGCGAATAATGAGATTTGCCTCTTCCCGTCCTGCATGAGTTGCTCATAACTAATTTCGATCTCCCGTCTTATCCATTGCTCGACCGTGAGGCTTCGCTCTTCAGTAGTCAGCGTTTCTGGCTGGAGAGTAGGAATGGCTGCGAGTTCTGGAGATTGTGTCGGTGGAGGTGGCGATGGAGGGTAGGGTGGACTGGAAACGGGAGGACTGCATACTTTTGACGTCTCATCAACCATAGGTACGTCATCGTCATCTGGTGTTTCGGGTCGCGGGGGAGGACGAGGTGTGTCTTTAGGGTCGTCCACGCCTACATTGCTGGGCTGTTGGGTGCTATGAAGGTCGTCCTGAATGCGTACTCGTCTCACAGGAGTGTTGTCCAATCCTGCAGGCATATCGACGATTGCTTCTGACGTAACACTTTCCGTTTCCGATACGATCGTGTCGGTCTCAGCTTCTGAGGCTACCAACTCAGCCTCGGACAGTGTTGCCAGTGCCGAATTAGACGATCTCACTGGGGGCTTCTTGCTAGTCTTCGTAGTCGATCTAGGCTTGGCCGGTGGCTTAGACGTGGAGACAGCGCGTCCCTTTCGTCTTGTCTTGGGTGCTTGCACCTCCTCGACAACTTCTGCCTGCGCAAGTTCATCACCGGAGTCGGAATGTTCAGGCTTGGGATCGGGCGGAATATCAACAGCGCCTTTCTTCAGCCGTGTTCGTGAAACAGTGCGAGTTTTGCTGCCTGATGCACTGAAGAATGGGCACTTGGTACCGGATTTGGTGTCGCGTTTCTGGTGTTCGCGTCTGTCGTAGATGAGCCATCTTATGTCTCAAGGGCAGAATTCATGAACGTACATTGGATCGTCGTCCGTGTCCCAGCCGCCCAGTGAAAGATTACAATACAAGCAAGTCACGGTATCATCGCCCTTTGTTTGAGGGGTGTATACAAACCCTCCGTGAGCCATCTAAATGACGAATGTGACTTAAATTACGCGCAAATAAGCGTGAGACGCACCTTCTTGGAGCTAGCGCCATGGTCATCTTGCGTGTCATGAGGCCACAAGTTTTCGCCAAATGTCTGAAGACGCGCCTTCTCCATCGCCTTACTCGTTGGCAAGCGCTTCTTGTTCAAGAATGAAAAGCTAGTGTTCTTGTGAACGTGTCATATGCTCATAAGACGCATGAACGCACCTTCCATCTTCTGCAATATCCTCGCTGAGTCCGCACCGAACTATTGCCCATGCACAAGTACTGCCACACTTCTTCCAATGGATCTGGAACGGATCATCCTCCTCATCCCAGTCGCTCAGCTCTTTGTGACAGAGAAAGCAAGCGACGCTGTCCCTGTCCTCCCAGCTTGGTACCCAGAAGAAGCCTGCTTCGGCGAGGGTATTCGGGTTGGCGTTGAAAGAGGTGGGATGGGGCCATTTGACAGTGGTTGAAGTGGAGTTTGACTTTGAATTCTTTTTGACGCGCTTGGATTTGAGGAAGGAGTCGATGCGTGCTTGAAGGCTTTCCATTGAGAGGTGGTCTTGGAAAGAGATCAAGGTTTGAGAGGGTCACGTGCATGCGCGCGCCGACATACCCGGCCGAATTCCGACAGCTATCAGACACAAGACCCCTACATCTGAGAATGACTTACATGCACATTCGAATGTTTTGTAGAATTATATAAATTACACGTTCGACCATTCGTATATAGGAGATTTGTGTGAGCACACATACACATACATCAATGCATCACTCTGTGGTAGACACCTGTTTTAATTCATATTAAGTACCTCGTCACCATCGATTGCGACACGGAGCGTGGTCCCGTTTCCCGTCGACGCTGACGGGATTCCAACTTGACACACGATTTTATCTCCACCCTTGCATGGAGGGTGCCATCGCAGTCCACATATTTGGTATTGCTAAAGCAACAGTGAGTGCGAGTCGTCAAAGAAGAGCCACAAAATATGTTTGTGACCGCTCTAAACATCCTGTAACTTGAATCGAGATGAGAAGACCTACTCATCCATCACCTAATCGTCCAACTCTACGACAAATCTAGATATATTAACATCAGGTTCCTGATTTTCGTTTGTTCCTTTAGCTCTGCATAGCCAATGATGGAGCAGACAAGGGTTGCTTAAATCATCTTGGCTTCGAGTTAATTCAAACATACTCAGACCAGGCCCTCAGATCTTGACGTAGGGTTGCACATCTAGATTTCCTTTCGTGAGTTTCCACCACAAAATCAAAGTGTAGTTGTGCCGGAGAGCTTTACTGCGAAAGACCGAGCACGAGATGCCACCTTCTTTGATGCCCCATACGAGTGCGGAACCACCATATACGTCCTGCAGGGATTTCCGTCATCATATCAGCGTGATGAACACGAGAGATTGAACCATATACCCCACGCGACAGATTCTACACCCACATTCTGTGTAATACGCAGGCGTTTCTGAAACTCTCTGATGTGAATGCAAGCAACAGACTTGGTGTTGTACCGTTCATATCGTTCATGCACCCAAATCTCATCTGGCAGACAACCCAAAGAGCGTCTCAAAATCTCGTCCTTGGGTGCTGAGGGCGTAATAACTTAATCAGTGCGCTCAGGTAGGCATTACAAACACTTACAATTGATACTATTTCCCAAATTCAACCGCATGAACAATGTCTGGCGTTCATCGCCATGCACGCGAAACGCAAGTCAGAAGTGCAAACAGACGAAAATTGGGAAATGAATCCAGCAAGAGCCGACAAGGCGTCTGGCCGTCTATTCACAATTGCCCAATACAGCGCTGTGTGACCCTCAATATTGCGTGTTTGCAAGAGGTTGGAGAACTCTGCAGCTGCGAGAGCAGCAGCGCAGAAGTTCACATCCTGTGCAACACAGGAAGAGCGGAAACCGGGAGTGAAGACAATATCGTGGATGCGAGATAGAACATCTTTCCGTTTCTGCCGGAAGGAAAATACAGATGGTGGTCTGCATTGGATGGAATCTGCTGATGGCGCAGACTTAGAAATTGTGTCGTACGAGGAAGGTACGATAGTTATGGAATTGCTATCAGCCATCATTAAGGAAAAAGAGACGAGCAAAATAGGGGCCTGTCGGCAATGACACAGCACTGAGCATTGTACAAAACGGGATGGCTCACATCATTGTGTTGAGTGTCATTCCGAGTTCATTCCACAGGACTGAGTCGTTGGTGCTTGTATGACGAGTGTCTGACGAACTGGGAGCGTTGACCACAGTGGGGTTCTGTTACACAAAAACAAAGTAGGGAATCGAACCAAGAACGAAAAACCGAACAACAACAACCATATCGTGTGTTTCTCCAACCTAGGGTACCTCTAACCCTACAACTTAAGGAGCCTCAACTTCATCCAGTGGGCTTTCTCCGTTGTCGTTTGGCCAGTCAGCACTAGCGAGCCTCGCACGACACATAGATGTCCCACCATTTGTTACGACATTTTCGCCATGCATTATATAGATGCATGACGCGATGCATTAGCTAGTTAGTCACCCCTTGACAGACCAAACAAAACGATGACAGCGTTCCTTCTTTAGTATGCTAGTGTCTGAATGGTCCTAGGGTGTCCTGTCTGGCATCAAGGATGCGTTATTCTATCGCACAATGCAAGATTTAAAATCTCATGAAGCTGTTGTCTGTTATTAGTTTTCTGTGTACAGTACGAACTAGAATGTCATGAGGAATGCGAGCTCTGGAAAGTACGGTGTACAGTTGGCTATCGGCGAAGGGTCCTTTAATAAGAGTACTAGTGATGGTGGCGTATGCGGGTCGCAAATAGCTTGTTGTCACAGTTGTGCGGTGATGATCGCGATCAAGGTTTGAGATGGTCACGTGCATAGGCGCGCCGACACACCCGGCCGAATTCCGACAAGAGCAGCTCGCTGTCTACTACGATCCCCAACCACATTTTAACGACGACGACAACGATGAAAAGGACCTACGGACGCAAGAACTCACGGCGTGCGCGACCTGACATACAAGACGTGGAGGTTGTTTCACCGCCGCGGAAACGACCAAGAATCGAGGTTGAGATCGTGCCGCCGCCATTCTCAGTCCCCAATGCACATTTATTACCACTCAAAGCAACTAGTCCTATCCGAAGAAGTATAACTCTGCCTGACGTGGGCTCAATTTCGAGCACGCCGTCGAACATACGCACGCCGACCAAACCAGCACGGGATCTGAGCACGCTGTTCTCTACTTCATCGCATCTGACGCCGAACTCACCGGGAACGTCACTCGGAGTGGTGAAGCGGATGCTGTCACGCTCACGCACAGAGTCGTCCATTGATCGAAATGTCGGACACAATCTCTGCTCGTTCACCCGTGCGTCCCAGTCAGCCTACTAATTGTAGTAACGCCAACACATCTTCTAGCATCATCTAACACACTTCCTGTACATCCTTCTCCACCGAAGATAACCCCCTCGCGTTCACCCACCCCGACACCGAACAAACCCATACCGATAAAGCACACACGGACGTACGCTGGCGCATCACGCTCGTACCTTATTGCGCTTCCCGCAGCTGATCTCGCAGAACCAGACGACACGCGCGAATCTTACGCTGACCTCCGGTCTCGGTGGGGTGTCGACAACTCCGAGGACGATCCACGTCCTTTCGACGATGATACTCGAACACTCAAGAGGACCTCCAGCGTGGCTTCGCGGCCGCTTGCGAATGGGATGATGAATGATCTCAAGAGCATTACGGAATTGCGGAGCAAGGGCGAGAGCAGGCGCTTTCTTGATGAGGTAGGATATTTGTTTGAAGGCATAGAGACTGGTTGCGCCATTGCGCTCCGCAGAGCCAGGTGCGTACCAGTACCGAAGCAACTCACAAGCTCACTTTACCATGGTCAGCGTCTTGGAAATTGTCACCAAACTATGCGACTCCGACTTCAACCGTCGTGCGAAAACGTCTGATTTTTATGCTCGCACTTGGGATGTATTCGTCAAAGCCCGTGAAGAGGGTTCGGACAAGGTGCGCTCTTCCGACACTTCTTTTATCTCGTCCCTACACGTGCCCGCCAATATTTACCCATCGACCCTTCTTCGCTTCTTCGTACCCCTTCCTACAACCCGAACTCAACCATCCACAGATCATTGATGCCACCCTCTCCTTCTTTGCTTTGCTTTCCACCCGCGACCCGCAAACCCTTTCCGAACTTGCTCATAAACCTGACCTCGTCCCCACTCTCCTCGAAATCCTGCGCTCCCTCACTCCCACTTCCAACATGAAGAACGATGGGCTGAATCAAGGTATGTCCTTTGCACTAACTTCATGAACCTCTCCGAAAGAACCCGACGATCCCATAACGTGACCACCCACTGACATCTACCCAGGTCTAAAAAAAGACATCCTCGCCCTCGCCCTGTGGGGGGTAGATGCAGCGGGGCTCAGATCATTAGGCATCATCCGCACAGACGTGACGCCGGTGAGTAAGTTTCGCGGCGGCTATTGGGGATAGTGTGATAATTGGTCTTGTTCATTCACTTTGACATCATATGTATATTCATGTTGTATGCGTGTCACGATGACATCGGCGGCAGCTCAAAGCCCTTGCGGACGTCATTGCAAAATCAGGGGTAGTGAAGGATGTACGTGGGGTACGTCACGCTCTTGTTTCTTTCATGTTTTCTGATGTCCTCGTTAATTGCTCTTCATTGCGTGCATACCCGACCCTTCATGTGTCTCTGTTGCTACGGACGTTCTATCTCTCTTCTGAACTGGTCGTGATCACATAGCTCTGCACCCGCACTCTGCTCAGCATCACACTCTCGTCCGTTCCCCCTTGCCTCCTTCCGCCTGCACTTCAGACCCTTCCGTCGATCCTCAACTCTCTGCGTGCAGAGCTCCTGCTCGTGCCCCCACGCATAACTGCTTGGGAGAGGGGGCTGGAGCTGTTCCCTGGTTTTACAGGCTCAGATGTAGGACTGGGGGAAAATGGGAATGCAGCGAGAAAAGGAAAAGGAAAAGAAACACGTAAACCATCAGATCCCCCGATAGACATCGCTACTCCCTCTCTTGCTCACATCCATGCTTGTCTTCGCCTCTTAGACACTTATCCTCTTGGAAGAGTGGACGGGTCACTTTCCGTCCCGCTCTGGTGGCACCCATGGGTCCAGAGAAGAAGAATCAGACATCCAGCATGCGCTGGCGGACCCGGCGTTTATAGACACACTCGTGGAGTTGTGCGTGGCTTCTGAGATTCTTGTGCGCGACTGTGCACAGGATTTGGGTGCAATGAAGAAAGAAGGGGATGATGGTGTAGACCAGGTTGCGGTGGAAGGTCAGAGTGAGCTTGGTATGTGTTTACTTCTCTTCTTTATTTCCCCGCGTCATTCCTGAAATTTCCCCAAATCATCATACCAAATATTGCCCCATAAAAATCTCAACTCAGACGAACAGGAAACTAACGCTCCTTTCCAAACAGCACGCAAAACCCTCTTCTCGACCCTCCGTGTCCTTACGCTTCTCCCGGCTTCCACATCCTCTAAATCCCGTCCTTCATCCTCGTACTCCCACCCTTCACCAACATATTCTCATACCCTGCATCCTTCCTGGACACCAAGCGACACAGCCCTATCACTGGTCACACGGGTTGTGTTACGTGCACAAGCTGGATGGGTTGGGAGTCTTGGCGGTGATGGGGTCAAAGGGGAACAAGATGATGACGAACCGATGCAGGGGAACGAAGAGCATGAGAGGAAATCGGAACATCTAACGGACGCAGATACGTCCTCCTCACCCGCGCCCTCCCAACGTGAATCTACACGTTCGCCTCGAAAACGGGCGCCGTTTCCTGTTCCTTCACCGTCCAAATCTGTGCATAAACCGTTGTCTTCGAGCAGGATGAATACATCGAGTAACACCCGTAGACAAAGTACGTTGAATGGAAGCGGTACTCCAAGTAAAGGTACCAGCACACCGAGCCAAGTAATTGGCATGGGTAAAGGGAAAAGCAAGGCCACATTAGTCCCGACGTATTCCCTCACGCGTGTTGAATCCTTCGACTTGCTTTGTCTCGCGCTTGGGTTGCTTCTGAACTGGGCCTCTGGGGGTATTGAAGGAGAAGAAGTCAGTGAGGGGATGGGACGCATTCGTGAGTGTCTATTTGTTATTTCTCTCTCTTCCTGCTGCGTTTTTACCCCCTGTCCATCGATGACGCTCATTACTAGCATTTTCCACAGTTCTCAATCCCGCCTGCTCTGCCACTCGCGGCTGCGCACACATCTGTTCATGCCCTACTTCCTCCCAGGTACCGCTCCTTTCGTGTTTGGTATCTGTGTACCAGGCATGCCGCGGCTCTCTATTCGCACCTGACTGATTCCTCGTTGTGGAAAGGAAATAATTTACCTGACCATGAACGTAAACTCCCCTCGGATGTCGATCAAAAGTCATCGTCTACGAGTCAGAAGCAAAAGTCTTCCTCTGGGAGTCGTAGCTGCCCCCCTACCTCTCCTAGGTGCAAACTCCCTTTCTCCCAGCCCAAATTGAACACATTTAGCATGCATCAATTACAATCTCCCGAACTCATCTTCCTGGCAGGGTATACTGCTGTCCTGCTCGGCCTCCTCTGCACATCCGCACCCCCGCGAGGAATCCGAGTGCTACCCACTAATCGATCACTCATATTTGGCGACGTTCCCCTAGAGTCACTCATTGGAGACGTGCAAGACTTTTTGGCGTTGTATGACGATCTCGAGGGAGAGTTCAATAGCGAGGGTGATATTGTGGATGTAGATGTGAATATGGGTTCAGATGGGGACAGGCTGTGTAGTATGGGACGGGGACAAGGTGGAGGAAGGGGGCGGGGCAAAGCACTGGAGAAGAGGAGCGAAGATATAGCGCGTGGGGTGTTGAGGTCGTTAGAGGCACTGCGAGGCGATGGAATATGAGATAGTCGATCCTTGCTTCCGATTGAAAGGTCTGAAGATGCTTTGCTAATGATAAACTCATTCGCATCCTGATCACGGAAGGTTAATTAGTCGTCGGTGTCAGAGACGAACAGTGAAGCGATAAAGCGCATGGTTTGACATTGAGATAATGTCACACTGTTAGGGTTGGGGAACCACCTACGTTACTTTAGGCGCGGAATTCACGTTGATTTGTGACCGAAGTTGAAAGACTCGTATCATAACTGCCAAGGATGACCCCAATGGACAATAAATTTGATTATTTCTTTTTTTAAAAAAAAAAGAAGAAAAAAACTGCCAAGGACCTGAGGCCTGAGGTCAAACGTTGCCTGAGTAGCTACGCGAATCCCTGCTGGGTAAACTGCGTTAGCTATTACTGTTTAATCATGATCTAGCTCAAAATCAGTTCCAACTTGAGGGCTACTGACAACCATTGTACTATCATAGTCAGTAAGTAAAAACGCAAGCAGAGTCCTAGACTGACCCGTTGATTATAATTAGTGGGTGAACTTGCGTCCGAGCCGCTCCGAGCTCGGCATCTCGCGGGGTTTCCGCATAAATTTGAACCCGTTAATCCTGTTTGCTGAAAAAGTGATTTTACTGCTCGACGACCACGACATCCATCATGCTCGCCCGCTCTGCAGTCCGTGTTCTTGCCACCAACTCCCGTACCTTCTCTTCGTCTGCTGCAAGGCTGACGAAAGTTGCCGTCCTCGGCGCTGGCGGAGGCATTGGACAACCACTATCACTCCTTCTTAAGACTGACCCCCTCGTCACTTCTCTCAGTCTCTATGATATCCGTGGCGCACCCGGTGTCGCAGCAGATGTAAGCCATGTTGACGCTCATAGCGAGGTACGTCATTACTCGCTACATATGTCAACCACGAGTTTGTTCAATCAAGTGGCAAGGTCAAAGGTTACCCTGCTGACAAGCTCGACGAGGCCCTTGATGGCGTCCAAGTCGTTGTTATCCCTGCTGGTGTTCCAAGAAAGGTGCGTTTCTGCTTCATATCCTATCGCTTTCTCGCACAATCCTGACCCTGCCTTTCAGCCTGGTGTAAGTCCTACAACTCATTAGTTCCTCCGCTCTAATACCTTCCCTAGATGACCCGTGACGATCTATTTAATGTAAGTTATACATACCCTCCATGAAATTATCTTATGCTAATCATATCCTGAAAGACCAACGCTTCCATTGTCCGCGACCTCGCAGCGGCGATTGGCCGTGTCGCCCCTACTGCCCACATTCTCGTCATTTCCAATCCGGTCAACTCCACTGTCCCGATCGTTGCCTCCACTCTCAAGAAGGCTGGCGTTTACAACCCTGCACGCTTGTTCGGTGTAACGACCCTTGATGTCGTCCGTGCTGCTCGCTTCACCGCTGGTATTGCAGGCGTTAAGCCCGCGGACACACCCATAACTGTTGTCGGTGGCCACAGTGGCGCGACGATCGTGCCTCTACTCTCGCAGAACGCACACGGAAAGGCTATTGCAGGCGACATTTACAAGGCTCTTGTCCACCGCATCCAGTTCGGTGGTGACGAGGTCGTGAAAGCTAAAGATGGAGCTGGTAGCGCCACCCTCTCGATGGCATATGCTGGTGCCAAATTCACCAACTCTCTGTTACGGGGCTTGAACGGTGAGAAAGGTGTCATCACGCCTACCTTTGTCGAGAGCCCTCTGTACAAGGACCAGGGTATCGACTTCTTCTCGTCCAATGTGGAGCTTGGCGTAAGTGAAGCAAGCAAGTCATCCAGTTGATTTGTACTCAAGTACCTTATAGGTCAATGGTGTCGAGAAAATTTACCCACTCGGGCCTCTCTCCACTGAAGAAGAGAAGCTAATGGAGGCCTGCTTGCCTGAACTCAAGAAGAACATTGAGAAAGGCAAGGCATTTGTTGAGAGCCCGTAGATTGGTTGGTTTTAGATTTACCGTCACTCAATACTTTTGCATTATGCATGACTAATTTAGAGCTCGCGCATAAACGAACGTGTTGTACAATGCCTCCCTGTCAGCTACTTACCGAGGGTGTCATTAGTGTGCACAAGTTGCGGCAAACTGCAGGCACATTGCTGACAGCCCTGAGTATAAGGGTCAGTGGCGTGTATATAATAGCCGCTGCGTTCTGTCGTGATGCAAAAGTGAGGCGCCTTGAATCAATGTTGGATCAACAGTTAAAGGTCTTTGACCCTTGCTTGGCTTGATGGCACGTTTGATCCTGATAGTGACCGACTTGATGAATTGTGTCAACAGCGCTTTACGTGATGGGGCCCCTGGTTGGAACTGCTGGTTCCTACTTATATATCCAACCTAATTATGCTCGGCGACACTAGCGCCTCCTACATACTGGCTCTCTCTCAAGAATATGGATTTACAAACCTCCAACAACTTCTCAACCCTCCAGCTCCGGGATGTGAGTGATTAATATTCGGTGACATTTTGCGCATCACTGACTGTGGTACTGGCAGTATGTTTTCGGTGCTATCATTTCCACCATGATATTCTGTCTCACAGCTAACGGGGCTCTTGCTAGTATCACTAGCGGTTTTTTGGGTACGCGCTCTTGCCATTTGTCTAGCCTTCAAAAAACAACTGGTTACAGGTCTACGATTGTTTCCTGACCTTGGACCAGGAGGTGATTCCATGTTTGCGAGATGTAGCCTGTTGATTGACGGACTAACTGGCGTGTATAGATATATTTGATTCATGGGCTACCGTGGAAGAAAGGGAGCATTCTTTATGTCATGACAAGATACTCCCCAGCCTTCTTGCTCTGTGTGCATTTATACAGTGAGTCCAAATAACATGCTCCATCGTCAACTCGCAGCTAACCAGGATATGGAAGTGAATCATGTCCAGAATGAACATTTTATGGTAAGCACTTGTTGGAAATAGATGTTGCCCACCACACTGAGCATTTGCCGATGTAGACGTGTACATCCCTACATTCGGTGTGGTATGGTAAGTGTTGTAATACAATTAGTTCCGCTCTAAGTTCATCCTTCAGGTACTGCTGCCCTCTGCATCGCTTGTGCAGAAGGTATTACGAGTTTTCTAGTATATACACGCAGATCACTCACGGGATCTCTAGGTATCTTCGTCCTTCGCACCTATGTATTATGGGGACGGAAGAAATCCATTATGGGCCTTATATTGGCAACGTTACTCGTGCGCATACAATCACTTTCCCGCATTCCAAACCTTGACGCACCTTCCTGTTTGGACCCCAGTGCCTGGTGATCTTGGACGTAGTAATGACCACAACAATCTCGAATCAGTTAGAACGTGAGTGTGTCCAAGGAGAGCCACGTTCAAATCACTCATCATGGATCGACAACAGTCCAACCATCAGACATGGGCTGGGGTTGTTATTCACCGACAGACACCAAAATGACTGCAGCTCCTTGGACACTTCTGGTAGCATTCGAGCTTGGTGAGATCCCGGAATTATAAATGTAGTTCAATGCTCATTTTTTGCCTCAGAGATCATAGCACTCACCATGATTCGTGTATATCGGGCATACCGCGAAAGAGGATGTCTGCTGCTTGATGTCCTTCTGCAACACAGCATTTTTTATTTCGGAACTGGGTTAAGCAAGTATTACTTCCATTGCTGTCAAAACAACATTAATATTTTCATCCTAGCACTATCGGTGGTTAATATTCTATCCATCGTATGCCTGCCGGTGCGCGCAGATCCAAATACGTGATATTCGCTGAGTGTCCTGATATTTTTTACGCAGTACGACTCCTCAAATATAGTTGCAACGTTTCAAATCATCATGCATTCAATCGTTGTTACTCGTATGCACCTACAGTTTTGTGGCACCCCTCAGGTTGGCGGTTCGTCTGAGTCTGGGATAACACCACACTCTCAGTTGACACACATTGAACTTGAAACGTCTTTGCACTCGAATGCATGATGTATCCAGCGCCTTTCATTTAGATATACTAGATTTTTCCCGTCATCTTGCAAAGATTGTCGGAGTCAGGAATCAGACACTCTGGTGATCAGAGGTACGAGCGGACGCGGAAAGAAGACAATCTATATCTCAGTCGTGGTAACAGACTCAAAACCGAGTAATCTACCTAGAAGGCAATATATCTGCGAACATGTTAGACAACTCTTAAGCGGAGAGGAGAAGATAGTGTTCACATTTCAGTGACCCCAGTAATATCCCACTATGAAACTGGAAAGAGGTTCGAAGCACCAGTTTGAGTGGTGAATTGTACACAACACCCACAGAACTGATGGCGAGCAGGCCGGGTGAAGTGGTGAATTTGAATCACCAATGCACTCGGTGTTTAGTAGTATGTATAGTTGAAATGCTCATAATGCATACTGTCAGGACCGTCAAAAGTCTGCGTTGTGAGAAATATGCAACGCCAAAAATTTTACACCTGACCTTCCCAATAAGCTTAGTAAGCCTTTGCGACGTTAGTCGAAGTTTTAAGGACTTGATGTAACGGCACAGGAAGCAAACACTAGAGTCTTTCACGCAATGTTAACCAGATACCAGTCCGGGTCGATTGGAAAAGAACTAAGGGGACTTTGCTACAACGAGAGGTTTTAAATACTCGGTGAGTTAAGTGCCCGTGAAAAAATAAAGAATTGAACGTGATAAAAGAAATCAAATACTTCTACATCAGGAAAAAGGGAAAAATTCTTAGCTATCTTACCTCACTTACACAGACTTAATTCGACGCTAAGTTCACCAAGTTGTCAAAGCAAATCATTTCGACTTAATTTCTGCTTGGAGGATTGTTCACAAAGGAAACACAATAATATTAAGTAAAAAATGGCCAAAATTCAGCACAGAGGCTGCAGAAAAGCATGTTCAAGTAAGAATGTTATTTATAAGTAACCAACACCATGCTGCGATGTAACTAAGTTAATAGGCACTATGCAAAGTACTTCCTAAGCTGACCAAGTATATAATATACAGTCCTAATGGTAGCATTATCCAGCCAATAAGAATAAGTTAGTATCAAGTCACCAGGCAATCTCAAATGCCTGATGGTCAATATATTTATTTACATAGTAAGTGTGGAAAGCATCAAGGGTCTGTGTGTAAGAGAGATAAGTAGGTACAAATTCATGCCCAAATACAGGCATAAGGTGTGCCGCACGAAAAATGCAGTCAAGGTGAATGACAGAGGCAAATCGTGTCCCATCCTCGAGGACTTCAGGCTCTACTACCCACATTCCTGTGTTCTCATCTCGTGAGTCGTGCACATGTTTGAACCAATGCACAAGTGCACAAGGGTAATGTACACCATTGTGTTTAAATGAAAAGAAAAGCCTTACTTGAGCGATATCGAAGCCACACATGCCCTCGACAGTGGGATCAGTACTAATGAAAACACAGTCATATCAACCAGGGCCGCTCCTCCAGGTATCCACGGCACAAATTTGCTCGTAGCACATACCACCAATGCCTGAGACATCACTTGGAGCAAAGAAGGTGGCAATGGCAGATGTATACAGAGTCATTTTTTTATATAGTTCGGGAAGGGCACTGGATGAGCCAGTGGACTCGGAGGCTTCTGAGTTGGAGTCAGAACGATGGAGCTGGTCACGTAAAAATTTCTGAATATGAGTTGTGAGTTCCGGTTCACCAATTTGATCTGTGAGGAGGTCTGGGTAGATCCGTTTTGCTACATTAAAGTTTGTTGTAAGCGAAAGCACACCAGGTGAATGTACTACTCCACTCACCAAATTTCTTTGCCAAGTCTACATGAGCTATCACTGTCGGTCCAGCAACAGTGTCGCCCTCAAGCTCAGTGTCTTGGTCTGCATCAGTCTCCGAGTCGGCATTCACGTGATTGTTGTATCCGAGATGGGGAATGACAATAGGCTTGTCCTCGAGTTGGACTTGAATGTCTTCCGCGTTGTACACTGGAGTGTTTAGCCCTGTGGATTATGAGTGTGTGATTTGTGTTAGTAATAGTAATGGACAAATATTAGTAGACGTACCAAGTTTGTCAAGGATATATGATAGACATGTTCCTCTTAGCATCCCACGGTTAGCAAAGTCGATATGAGATGCCGCTAACTTATCTAGACGTTGATTTGTCAGTAACATCTGATTGAGGGCTTCGAACCGACTGGACTGTCGCCATGGCTCCTTGACAGCCTTGATATGTTTAGATTCCGTGATGGAAGAACAGAGTCTGTTTGGTGTGCCAAATGATCGGATCATTTTGTGGTAATGGATAAGCGAGTGTTGTTGAGGGAGGTTGAATCCATTAGGGTGAACACCAGATGTTTCAAATATTTTGCGGTGCCTGTGGAAACGCTCGAGTGCATCGTCCAACACATTGAGGCTGTTGGAGTCAATGATATTGTGCCGCGCAATGTATATAAAATCAATTAAGGCTTGCAAAGTCAGCACCATCTCCAGAGGTACGTGGCCTTTGATCGCAGGTATATACACCTATAGTAGTAAGAATACACGTTAGTCAACACTACTCATGATGATAGAACACCCGTTCATTGATGTACCTTCATGAGTGCTTTGGAATCGTCTCCCATCCATTGTTTGAAGCCCCTTCCCTCTGGGAATCGTCGAAGGCCCGCAAATGAGGGAGCAAGAGCAATACTAGTTGTAGAGTGCATCAATACCAGTCATTGTAACCCAGCATGTTCAAAATTAGACTCACCGGTGATCAATATCATCTAATATCATATTCACCTCATTTTCCGAGTATTGAGCCTTAATGTATTGGTGTACCCAGGTGACAATATGGTCCTTGAACGCACCCTTTATCAACTGATGTAAAATGTCAGGGGAGAGGAGTTCGTGTATGTCAGCTCGCGGAAAATAGTTGGTGAATGGCTGTAGAACACGTATATTGTAAGTTGTCAGCTTACACGATGACTACAATAATCAAGGTACAAACCATGATGTCTCCTACAAGTCCATATTCATCCCATAGCACACCTAACTCGAATTCCTCCACTAAGACTTCAGTATGGTCGCGGGAATGCTGACCATAGGTACCATTGTCGAGACTGTCTGCCGGAGCGGTACATCTGGATGGATGTGTAGTAAGTAGACACTCCTAGCATAACATGAAGGACAAAAAAAATACATACTTTGGGCACCAGTTTTGAACAATGCAAGTGAGCAATGCTTGCTCGGGATAATCGGTGATATACGGTCCAAGACCATACACCACACGTCGAAAATGACCATCGGGGGAATGTACAACCTCGGGTGTTGTCATACCTGGTTTAAGGGATTCCAGCATCTTCACCAGTGATGAGTGGAGAAGCTGACGGTGGAATTTTCGAAAGTGTGCATCTTTGGCGGACTCCTTGTCAGCTAAATATATGCGTCTAATTAGTGCCAGCAACAGACAACATCAGATTGAAACACATACTTGTCGGGATGGCTAGGAAGCCCAGCAATACAACGCCGTTGCGGTGTGCACGTTGCACATTGTTGCCGATGTTGCCGATCGACATATAAACTGGCCAGTATTGGTGGTGTCCAGTAGCGATGGAGACTGTAGTCTTATCACTGCCGAGGATTATTGGAATGAACATAGATCCAATTGTATCGGGATCCTCGGCAATCAAATCCTGTGAATTGTGAGAGATGAGAAAATTGGAAAAAAAGAATGAAAAACGGCTTACAGCCTGCTTCCAACACCAATCACCGGACATAAAGTCCTGAAAGCGATGTGCTCCATTGCTGGTATCATACTCCTGTAGCGGAGTGTAGTCAAATTCGCCTTTGAAGTCTGGGTTGGAGAGAATGTTGTGCACGAGGATCCGAGGATCTCAGAACCACACATCATACTCCGATGTCATCCACGGCAGAACATCACCTTCAGGTAGAGTGCCATTATATTCTGAAGTAAAACTCTGCCAGGCGACATCACCTAGAGGCGTCGAATCAATGACATTGTACATTTCAACGTGGTTTGTGAAGGGCGGTGTTTCACCATGAGCTGCTAATGAGGCGGCCCACAGATTGAATATAAAGTCGATATCGCCCCCTGACATCTGGTTGCGACGGTAGAGGAAGTCTGCGACTTCGAAATCAACTCAATTAGCATATGGTGTCCAGTTGTCTGGTCCACGATTTGATGGACATGGAGGTGGCGGAGTATTTGGGGGTATGTCATCTCTGTGTTCGTCACAAATTCTCCCTTCATGGAGAAGAGTATATGAGCACAAGTTTGGATGAGCGTCAAGTGAAATTAACACGCACCATTAATATTAGGATGATATGTTCTGGTAATGCCAGGAACTTGAAGAGGAACACTACCATCTCGACTCGCCTGGCCAATGGAACTAGTGCCACTTGAAGGACATTGATCTGAGCCAGTCATATCTGCCTCATTGGCAGCATCATCATGAAAGCCATACCCACGTCCGTCCGACTCTGGCAAGTCAAACTCCATTTCATCGTCACGACTCCCAGGTGCTTCAAGTTGTTCGTAGCCTGTGCTAGTCTGAGTTGGGCGGCATGAATGCACATGTGCTGAGCTTGTTGCAGCATGTCCGGTGCCAGTCGGGATGACTGTGAATGCTGTGAACTCGAGGAGGAATGGTGTGATGGTGGGACTTCGGATTCTTCAGATGGATGCTGGGATTGCATATGAGTGGTGCGCCCCGACCTGTTGTAAAAACAGCGGATACAGCCCGTCACTAGGCATGGTAGTGTAGGTTGAGGGCGGCCAATATTGTGCACACAAAGGTTGCCATTGGCCCGCATCATAAGATAGTGCCGATGGTATTGTAGACTTGAATGGGGCCCATGAGTCTGGCTTTGGAGGTGTAAATTAGAGTTGACTTTATACAAGGCCTGGTAAAGGCGCAGGAGCACATCATGCATGCAAGTACATACAAGTAGCCAATGGTAACATGATCTGCCCAGGGTTGATGCGAGGTGCGCCCATGAATAACTTCCAGCCACATAACATGATGCGTTCAGGGTTGATGCGAGGTGCACCCATGAATAACTTCCAGCCACATAACATGATGTGTTCAGGGTTGATGCAAGGTGTGCCCATGAATAACTTCCAGCCACATGGTGTTCCAACAAACACGGAAATACAATTTAGATAAAGACTTACTATACTAACCAGACATAAACCGGAAACCTCACCATTCAAGTTGAACATATCACGATCGCCTATCTTAATGAGAGGAAGGCCAAGAGCATGACAGAATGCATTTGACATGCGAAGTCGCATTCAGGGACACGTCGCAGAAGTGATACTTGCTCCTGACTTTGGCCGAGGGCAATTCATGTCGATCGAGGACTATCTGAGCCTTTTCGCAGTGGGCAATGTGCTTGATATTCAACTAAAATGAGTGTTAGATTTTGATACTAGTAGGCTACTAGTGGACACACTGCACAATGATCAATAAGGGTCATCTCCTTCAAGCCCTGGCAAGTTTGGAAAGAATTTGATATTGATAAGTTGAAATATGTAGTCGAAGGCTTGGAGATATGATGGAACAGAACCTGGGCGCTCAGCCCAAAGAGCGTGCTGTTGAGGCGTGGCAAATTAGCAAGTCAAATTTCATTGAAGTCCTGATTCAAACATCTCACTTGTAAACACGTCTACACTTGCAATTTCTTGATAAAGACTTTGTGCCCTCTAAGCTCGCCTCCTTCTACTCACTGCTATGTCTACCCGACGTGTCACCCGTGCAAAAAATGCAACTCAGCATCCGGGTATCCCAGACATAACCCCGAAGAAGAAACACCGTACTGCAGCAGAGGTAGCTGCTGAGCGTCAGTCTCAGTTAGATGCTAAAGAAGAAAAAGAACGCACCAAGAGAGCTAGCATCAAACACATTGCTAAATATGAGAAGAAGCAGGCAGACCAGGATGTGGTGACCGATGCTACACCACAGGCTGTGCCGTCGAAGCCAAAGCCAAAGCCAATCCCAAGCAAGAGGAAGGCTGTTGTGGCGCCTCCTGCTGTCGAAGACATGTCTCCTTCAGATGCCGAGATGAGGGATGGATGAGTTGCACCTTCGGTACCAAGGCCAAGGCCAATTCCTCGCAAGAAGAAGGTCATCGTACATACTTCCGCTGTGGAGGACAACGGGTTTCTGTTGGATGCTGAGATGGATGATGTGGTTGCTGATAGTAGCACCTTCAACCCAGATCCAACCCAACCTTCAGACACGATGGCCTCGGACTTAGACACAGATGGGTCTGACAGTGCAATGCCATCATCACCGCCCAGGAAAAAGATGAAAGTTAGTGGGAAGAAGGCAGGGAAGGTGACGAAGTCTTCTGTACGTGATGCTATCAAAGCAGTCCAGCAGACTCATATGTCAGAGAAGAGTAAGGCTGCAGATAGGAAGAAAACTGCACCTCACAGCACAATCAGCCTCCATACCAATGACTCAAATGACCCGGACGACTCAGACGTCCTTGTTGTCGACCCAATGCCGAAGAAAGCTTCCAGCCAGCAGCCATTCAGCCGGATGATGATGCTATGGTCGTTGATCAACCTTCAATGAAGGCATCTAAGAAGGCCACCAGTAAAAAATCAGCACGGTCAGTTCCGGCTGCTCGCTTGAACAATGATCCAGATGAACCTATCACCAATCCCCCTCTGGAAAGGCAGCCATCTCAGTGGGCCATGCCTGTTTTGAGTGACGATGAATGCAATGCTACTCCTATGGCCAGGGCTCCAGGACTTGACGAAGAAAGAGGGGAAAAGAAGAGAAGGAGAAGGCAATGTAAGGAAAGATAAGAGAAGGAGAAGGAGAAGAGAAGGAAGAGAAGGAGAAGGAGAAGAAAGGAGGGAGAAGGAAGGAGAAGGAGAAAGAGGAGAAGGAGAAAGGAGAAGGAGAAGGAGAAGAGAGAAGGAAAGAGAAGGAGAAGGAGAAGGAGAAAGAGGAGGAAGGAGAAGGGAAGAAGGAGAAGGAAGGTAGCAAGTAGATCTGGCAGATGCAGATAAGAAGATCAGCCCATGAGGCGCGTTCTGATCAGAAACAGATTCCGACCAGAGTTCAAAAAGGTAAGTACTTTTTCTAATCTTAACTGATTAAGACCGTGCTCAGGGTAGGATGGCAGTCTGAGGGGGCTTGGCCTTCAGCTCCATACACTGTTGCCCCATTACCCGAGTATGTTGCCCCTAATTTCGGATTGAGTCCGACTCGATGTTCTATGAGCTCTGACAGTCCGTGTGGAGCGGAGTCCTCTGAGGGGGACCGACGGACTACTAGATAAGCCGGGAATGTTGGGCGGAGATGGTCCGCCCTACAGGGGAGAGTTCGGAGGGCCACTGCAGTCAGGAGCTAACAGTAGGAGCAGAGTGGAGGAGACTTGCTCGGACAAAGTCTGAAGCAGAATGGGAACACAGAGGACAGAGGTACAAGAGTACTATTCACAAGTCCGACGCACGGGAAAGGCGGCGGAGGCGTGGGAAGTTGGATGAGCAGAGGAAGCGGCCGACCTAGGGAGTCAGTCCCCTAGGCCAGCAAACAGGAGTTGTTAAGGGATTTGCCCAAGAACAAGGACAAGAGAGCAGGGCTTAGAAAAGGTAATATTCAGACTAAGTATCTACAGACAATTGTACATATGTTTATATACTCTAAGTGGGTAGCATAGCATAGCAAAAGGCTATGTGCTGAGTGTACAGAATTATTAGAAAGATGACTGAGACATACGAGAAAAGGGGCTCGGAGAATAGTATGTACACGACGGATCAATAATCACTCAGGTATAGAGATTACCGGTGATCCGAAAGGAGGACTATGATACTAAAAGGAGATAGGACCAGTTGAATGGTTCCTAGTCTAGGGGTGGACCGGTGAGGTGGTCGGGCGGACCAATCGTCGGATGGAACAACACGAGAGGAACTGAAGGAACTGAGTGGATCGGAAAAGCGGAGATGGTGGAGGGAGTAGGATTGGTCGGACCAATGGAGTGGAGCTCCAGATAGGGTCGGAGGTTAGGGATATGGTGTCGGAGGAAATAGGGGTAGTGTCGGAGAAGCGGAGCGGAGTTGGGCGGAGGCAGCTGGGCTAGTCCTGCTGAGATGCACTTTGTGCATTGTCGGAGAAGGAGGGATGGAGCGGACAGGGAAACAGGGGGTCGGACCAATGGTAGGGATGTCTATGAATGGTGTTGGAAGTGGCTGAATCGGGTATATGACACTTACCCTTTATCATGCTTGAGCTCACTCTCGACAAAACAATTTTATATTACTTTTTCCTTAGTGACTTGACTCCCAATGGCAAGGACTTTTCCACTGGCATTAACGATTGGGCAGCAAGCATCCCAAAAAATGCAAAGCCCAGCACTAAGGCCACCACCAGCCAGCCCAGCATATTCAAAAATAGCACAAGTTCACGCCGCCTTCCCCCCCTGACCAATGCCAGCACTTGCTCATCCACTAATTCGGTTCTGACAGAAAACATGTTGATTTCTCACACTGTCCCCATCATGTGGGAACCGAAAGAGGGAGATACTCTCCAACTCCTCAATGGAGGACTCTCAGATGAAGATGAGACACAAGGTCTTGAACGAGAGGCCGCAGTTGCTAGCCCTCCCAAAGGGAAAAAATGAGTTTCAAGTTCAGTAAGTGTCGTCTTATTTTTTTAACATTCAAGTCAGTTATTGACCTAATACTAATACAACCACATTATATCATGCAGGCTCTCATCAAGGATTTGCCTGGCAAGCCCCCAGCTCATCAAGCCGAGCGCACGAAGAAACCTGGCAACAATGATCTCCCAGATGGTGTTGAACACAGGCTGTGGCGCCGTGTCTTTGTTTCTACTTAGATGCAATATGTTGCAACTCTGGCTAATCCCTGGGAGGTTCCCCCGAAGTTAGCCTGCCAGAAATTGCAGGTGATCTGGGACGCAATTTTTCCCAGTATCTCGTGCACAGTCACAAGCACAAGTACTGTGTATATCATAGTAAGTGTGTTCATATGTGTCAACGGCAATACTAACTTCAACCTGGTACTATAGGCTGTCCAGCGTGTTTCTGACTCCTATCGAAGCTTCATTGGCTCAGCAGCTATTGCAATCATCATCACATACCTCAAGTCCCAGGACACACTCAAGGACTCGGACGATAATCATGTCAAATTCGCTACTTACGTGCTGGACAAGCTTCGGTTCTTGTACAAGAAGGCAAACAGTGACAATAAATCTGTACGTGCTTCTCACTATCTCTATTCATTGCCTCTATTATTGTCGCTGTGCCACTAGTACTAACATGTGATGCAGAAGTTCCATGGCCTTTATCAAGGTGCCTTCATAGTGCAAACATTTGGCGCCCACTTCACTGCTATCAACAGCGCTCGCAAGATACATAGACTAGACAAGCTGGGAGACAACTTGAATCCTGCTGGGGGTCTAGTGCTGTCATGTGCTGCAGTAATATATTTTTATTTTATTTTCTAATCACACCTCGCTGATCACTCATTGCTACTAGGTTGAACGAGCATTGACACTTATTGCTACTCGTACTATAACCATCAAAATGGTTCTCGCTGCCAAGGGCAAATCTATACCCTTGCTGAAAACACTCAATCACTCAACCGGCAAAGTCTCCAATCGCCAAATGGGCTTCAATGACGTCATCTGGGGTTCTTCCACACACTCATATGTGAAGTTGATAGTGAAAAGCTTCTGAGACGAGAAGTTCCAAACCATCATCGCTTCTGCCAAGGAATTTTCCAAGAAGAGCCATCATTCTGGCAACAATAGAGCCATCAATGATGCTGTGGTTGATGATGAAGATCTGGACGAACACGCTCAACTCATGGACATATCGGAGTCCGAGTCTGGGTCTGAAGATCATAGTAATGGCTCTGACATGGACTTAGAGATGGAATGATGCATGGGACTCAGAGCCTGAGGACAGTGAGTGTTTAATTATCATTTTATCTGATCACTGATGTTCAACTTGAATCTGCCACCATCTTGACCAGTGTTCAAGTTGTCCCACTTCCCTCGCCGTCGCCTGCTAATGCTAGTGGTAGTGACTCATCTCGTACTACAGCTGTCACTGCTACTACTAGCTGCTGTAATAGTAATATTCGTTCTTGTCATCTTCTGCCAGTGGTTTGCTTGCCAGCACTGTGTTCACACTTACTGACCTGATTCAACTCTGGCAGTTCTTATGATCACACTTATTTCCTTTGCTTGACCGTCTTAATTTGCATTTTGTCTTAGTCACCACTTGAATTGATGCTTTCCCTGACCACTTTGTCTTGATCATGATCTTAATGGTATACATCCGACTTGAACGGTTTTAGGAGTGCTTGAATTATTCACTTACCTATCAACTGTGTGGAACTTGGGAGCCTTAAAGATATGCTTGGATGTCTTGGTGGCATGGTATGAATATACATGATTCTCACTGCTTTATTGTCTGAATTCTACACTTACTATTGACTTTGTAACCTTGGGAGCCTTAAAGACACAATATATACTTGGACCTGTGTGGCTCCTTAGAGCTGAATCCCTCTACTACTGGTCTGCTTATTTTGACTTAGCTTACAATGCGTCTTGAGAGAATCTGACATGACGAGTCATACTTGAAGTCACTGCTTAACTGTGTACTTATGTCAAGTCGCTGATAAGTGTAACAATAAGTCAAATTCATCGGAAGACCCTACTTTTTTCAAGCAACGGCATACTTAGCAGAATTCTACTGAATCTTACTTAGAATCACCTTCAAGTCACCATAAGTGTTGTTAAGAAAATTTCCTTTTTTCCTGATGTAAGAGATAACTCAGACAGTGGTCTAGACTCAGTTCTAGCCTGCGGCCAGTTGTTATCCTCATCGATCACAACAACCGCCACATACTCCCCTCCAAGGGTCGTCCACACCCTTCACTTCTTCTTGGGAACTCTCTTCGAGGCAGATTCGTCCTCCTGCTCTCCAACCTTGGAACTTCCAATGTCCTTTGCACGGGGCCTGTCTTCATCGTCAACCTCCATGCATGCAGGTGCATTAGCTGAGGGAGAGGCAGTACCAGCACCAGTGCTAGTTCCTTTGCCCTGATCCCCTTGGTGCGTATTGCGTCTTGTTCCATGGATGCTTGTGTCTCCCTTGGCCTTTTTTGCAGCCTTCTGTTCTGTGATGGACCAATCACGCCACTCGCGCTTCTTTTTGGTGGTTTCTAGGTTCATCCACAACACCTCCTCAAGTAGCTCTGCCCACTGAGGATTAAGGTAACGACCTCCATCAGGAATGCGCACCTGATTGGACAGGGTAGGCACAGCTGCCTCCTCTCCGATGAGGTCAACAAGGGTGGGGGCTGGGCCAGTGATCTGAGGCTCGTCGGGGCCTCCTTGCACCATTTGGTTTGAGCACCCAGCCTCCGTCTCCATAAGGTTAAACGCCAACATGAAGTCACCGTACCCGCTCTGAGATAAGTGTCGTATTCTAGGTAAGCACAAAGGATGTTGGTTGTGATGAGCATCTCTCTGTCTTCTCCTAGCGCGTTTGGTAGAGTGAAGCGATGAGCGCTGATGTGGTTGAGCCAGGTTATAGTGTCAGATTTAAGCATAAAAGTGTCTAATTAGACACACCTTTATGCTTAAAATGTCTAGTTGCCTGATGTCTGTATCTTGATGCTTAAAGGCTTCTTGGTTTATGCTTCTTGTTTCTCGTGTCTAGGATGATGCTTAATGCTTCTCATGACACATAAAATCCTTTTTTGGTAGGCTAAAACAGTCTTTCCCCCTTTCCCCCTTTCCCCCTTTCCCCCTTTCCCCCTTTCCCCCTTTCCCCTTTCCAGCTTCTTCCTTCCCTTCGCAGCTTCTTCCTTCCCTTCACAGCTTCTTCCTGCTCTTTCACAGCTTCTTCCTTCTCTTTCACAGCTTCTTCCTTCTCTTTCACAGCTTCTCTCCCCTGGTGTATTGCAATGATGGCTTTATTGGTGTAATACTTGTACCCTAGGACTAAAACAAATTCGTTTTTTTGCTCCTTTAGCAGGGGAGCGATTCTGATGATATGTAGCATATGTTAGAGCATCAATGAATATGTTTCACCACTTGTTTGACCCTCTAGAGCGCCCTACATCAGTAAATAGCTTGCATACCACTGAAAACATAAAACAGTTCGCATTTTTTTCGCATTTTGACATATAGCCTTGTAAATATGCTCAAAACAACGGTTATTTATGTATGTACAACATACTAAAAGCTCAGGACCTCAGGGTGAGCACTTGTTATGTTACAGCCTTGTCTTTCTCTATATTATGTACCATATGAATTTTTTTTATTGCAATCCTGCCATCAGGGCAGCATAGGTACATGTAGCTATGATAATTCTAAGCTTATTTTACACCTACATGAAATGGAGGCATGTAATTACTGGTAAGCTACTGTCTTGTTGTTAGTGTATGTATTGACTTGAGCCATCATACTAGTAGTACCCTATCTTACTATACACAGTAGTAGTAAGCAAAGTTCAGCAACACTTTGGGACAAATAACATATTTTGCATGCTGCATTCACATTTCCCAATGAATCCTTCTATAATTTAAGTACTAGTCTAAGGAGTATCATAGCTGTATTGTACATACCCTGCCCTGACAGTATTACTGCAATGAAAATTTTCATATGGTATATAATGTGAAGAAAGACAAGGCTGTAGCATCACAAGCACTCACCCTTAGTGATGCATTGGGCCTGGCCTGGCCTGAAAGCCAGGGCTTGGGCCTGGCTTTAGAGGGCTTGGGCCTGGCTCGGGCCTGGGCCAGGGCTTACAAGGTAAAAAGGTGACAAAAGCTTTATTTCACTACCCTAATCAATTAGAGAACTTTCCCTGCCATCTGATTCACCTGACAGCATGATGATGTCATCACAGCCACCCTCCTCTCCATCATCCAGTTCCTCCAATGCTAATTCTAAAGCTGAAGAGGAAGGGGCCTCTCGAAAGATTAGATCACATTGATACATCATACGAAGCACTTGAATTACTTCAACAATATCACCCTTCAACCGGTTGTGATGCTTGTGACAGTCAGAGCAGCAGCAGAAAAAGCTTGCTCACTCGAAACAGAAGTGGCCATGATGGAGAAGTGATCACTAGTGAGAGAGGCCCAAACAGTGTGGTGTTCTTAGAACATGCACACAGGAATTGAGTCAACTTGTGAGAACTTAGGGTTCGAGCAGAGGTAAACTGGTCAAACCAAGCTTTATTTTGGGGAAAGGATCAACTGCCCATCCTGCACTATGTATGCTAGTTTATATAGGTAAAGGGGGATTGGGGAAAGTAGGAATAAAGAAAATAAAGGAGGGAAGAAACGGGGTGAAGCAATAAGAGTGAATCGATCAGACTTGATCGATATACTAATTGGTAACCATCAAGTCGTTAGACACCTAGGTCTTTTTAACAAATGTCACATACGCCCTCCAGCTCATCCAGGAGGAGGGGCTGCAATGTCGTGTGGGAGTTAGAGATTTTCTTTACTGAGTTATGGTGACATCGGTCATGGCAGCGCCAAACACAGCTAACAGGATGAGGAGAATGAGTACTTGGAGTACAATGAGGCTGAAGACTGCAACTCTACCCAGGAATTGATCGCTAGACAAGCTCTCAACCCTAGCTTCGCATTCTAAGTCCAATTGTTCAGCGGCTGCAACAATATCATCAACATCTGCACCTGGATCTATAACTTGAGGGATGGAGGAGGAGGAAGTAGGAGTACTCTTCAGACTTTCTGCCTGGGCGGTCGCAGCAGAGATAACCTGAGCAGCCGTTAAGGGAACAGGGGTGCCAGTGGGGAGCGATGAGTTCGAAGGGAGAGGGCGGGATCGCAAGTATTGAGGATTACCATTACAACAGTGATTGTTGATTGAGAGGTTGTTACTAGGCATGACTCGGGGTCGGGAAGCATAAGAGCGTTCACACTCGGCTCGAAGTTGTTGTTCGAACATGTGAGCTTCCTTTTTAATTGCTAATTCCTCTAATAGAGCGCTGGTTTTTAGGCGGCAAGCTCAGGGAGGGACTTTAAATCTCTCCCTAGCTTTTGCCTCGGTTCTAAAGAACTGAGTGAAGGTGTTTAGCGCTTCAGCATTGGGTTCCCTGCGAGAGGATCCATATCCTCTTCCACCTCACCCTCTGGGATAGTTATTCCTCCTGCTCGAATGAGAGACTCTAAAGGGAGCGGGGCAAGGTTCAGAGACCAGGATCTCACCTGGTTTGCGCGAGGGAGGATGGATGACGTCGGCGTTCATTGGCTTGGAGAGAGGACAGGTAGGGGCCAATTGAGTCATGGTGAGTTCGAAGGGCCCGTTGACTTGATTTGATGTCCTGAGTGGGGTCTCTCTTATATAGGTCGGGTCGGAGCCTTTAGAGGACATCTTAACTGGTAGGTCAGAGAGCATCTGAGCTATAATTTGTTTGACGCAATGCTTAGCATCGTCGACAGTGTCAACAGTAGTGTCGTGGGTTGCCTTAGAGATCTTTCTGGGCAAGTGTGTTATATTGGGTACCCCTAACACTTCAAGGTACTGCCCAACAGCTTCCAATCGCAATACTTCGTAGTATGGGAGCCAGACTTTATCTCTGGTAGTATATTCAACCTCAAATAGTGAGTCAGTTCCTTGACCGTTGTGATCGGTAACTCGGGAGACTGACCATTCCTCAAGACTTCCCAAGTCAGTGACTTGGTTGAGTTGTCTCCTGGGGAACTGTCGATCATCGTTCGGTATGTGAATTCTGAGCAAGTGAGCGTGAAAAGCAGGGTGGAGTCCACGTTGCTTGAGATTTGTGGGGAGGTCTAGTAAGTAGGAGTTATTGCGGTAATCCTCGAGAATTTTGAACAGACCGATAAACTTAGGAGTGAGTTTTCGAGCTCTGCCCTTTGGTAGTGATAAGTTTTCAGGTGGACAGGTAGACTAGGTCGCCCTTTACAAAGGGTGACTCTTTGTGTTTACAGTTAGCGACTGTGGTGTTCTTGACATGGGCTGCGATGAGGGCATCATGTGCACTCATCAGTGCATCCTTTATTCGCTGAGCAAAAACACTGAACACCAGGGTATTCGGATTAGTGCATTCCAGATCATTGACAGGGGCTGTCGCCCTGTAGATTAGTATGAAGGGAGAGTACTTTCTCGAAACTGAACTAGCTGAGTTTATTGTGAATTCGATGGCTGGGAGCTTGATTGCCCAGTCGCGCTGATCAACAGATACGATCTGACTGAAGCATCTGGGTCATCGTTTCGGTTTGCCCATTTGGTCGCACCGTCAGACTGTGGGTGGAAGGATGTGGACATCCTTAACTCAATGCCCATTAATTGGTAAAGTTGTTTCCAGAACGTACTTGTGAAGAGGGTATCGCGATCGCTGACAAGATTCGAGGGCATCCCGTGTAGCTTGTAGACTAGGTTGAACATAACCTCTGTGATGTCCTTGGCATGGTAGGTCTGCTTTGTGGGGGCTAGGTGGACCATTGAGGTCAAGTGGTCTATCGCGACTAGGATCATATCGAATGAACCGTTCAGAGTGCGTGATTCAGGTAGTGGTCCGACGAAGTCGATTCCTACTGTTTCCGAAGGGCATGAGGGTACTTCAAGAGTTCCAGCAATCCGTACAGTTGCTGGTTTGAGGGTTTGGATACCTGGCAAGTGCCGCACGAGTCGCAGAATGCCTGTATGTCTGCCACCATTTCTTTCCACCAGACATTGTCTCTGAGGTAGATTAACATCTTCGACGGGCCTAGGTGGGCAAGAAGGGAATGAATGTGCGAGATGACAATCTCTCTCACGCGTCGTTTACCGACTAGAATATCTGGGATGCAGAGTACTCTGTTTCCTTTGTCTTTCAGGAATATCCTGCCATTACTGACCTCGAAGTTTTTGTAGGAGTTGGGGTTGGCAATGATTTTGGCGAAGAACTTATCCTTGTCATATCAGTTGACTGAGGCTTTCATGGATATCGACTGTCGGGTCACCGAGGGAGATCAATTCGGTGAGTGAGGGAGGATGTTGTGATAGTAGGTCTTCTGCAATTTGTGTAGATGTGTTATGACGCAATTGTGGGTCCATGTTTGTACTTGTGCTTTCAGCGCTGTTTGTACTTACTTCCTTATTTTTCAGGATGTCTGATTGCATCCTTAAGTTATCTTCAGACGTTCCTATGGGTAGTAAACCTGTTTCCGATGGGTCTGCCCTTGTCTCTGGTGGCGTTGGTGAGTCCGTTTCTGGTGGGCTTGGCTTAGTAGCTGCTGTGCTCTTGCCCTCCAGGGATTTTGCTAGGTCTTTACCCATTTGCAGAATCACTTCACGCCGAGACGGTTTCTGTGGCGCAGTGGTTTGTGGTGAGTCTGAGATTTCCTGATCTGGCGCGGATGCTGCCGTTTGGGTTGGTGCACTTATGTGTTCATTGTCAGGGACCA